CTGCAATATAACAAAGAGTGAAAAATTTAAGGGGGTCTGAATACTTTCCGTACCCACTGTATATATATAACCCTAACCCCCCGCCTAACCTACCCGTCTCCACCCCCTGATCCCTAAACCCACCCATCTCCACCCCTAAACCTACCCATCTCCCAGAGCTCCACCCCTAAACCTACCCGTCTCCACCCCCGATCCCTAAACCCACCCATCTCCACCCCTAAACCTACTCATCTCCCAGAGCTCCACCCCTAAACCTACCCGTCTCCACCCCCTGATCCCTAAACCCACCCATCTCCACCCCTAAACCTACTCATCTCACCCATCTCCACCCCTAAACCTACCCGTCTCCACCCCCGATCCCTAAACCCACCCATCTCCACCCCTAAACCTACTCATCTCCCAGAGCTCCACCCCTAAACCTACCCGTCTCCACCCCCTGATCCCTAAACCCACCCATCTCTACCCCTAAACCTACCTATCTCCCAGAGCTCCACCCCCTAGATGTGGATCCAACCATGCCCCCTGGATCTTGTGTTCTGCAGTGAGGGGCTACTGTAAATAAGAGCCTACCAAACTCATTGCTTTTTTCCCCCTTGTCAAATGTGTGTTGGAGGACCATGATTTTACACTGTCTAAATACCAGTCAGGTCATGCTGCCCTTTGAAATGGGAAAATCTCCACTGTTTACTTTTTATGATTTTATGAAAAGCTCGTGTGTTTTAATATCTCAGTTAATTCCACAGCTAAGGTGCTTATCTACAGATATTTTTGCTGCATGAATCATCTTGTGGGATACATTTCCTCCACTGTTCTTGTTTTTCCACTTCAGTTTGGTCACACCAGGGCGCCACCTGTCTGTGCTACTGTAAACCACAAACCCACCACTGTCATCTGGAGTTAACATCAATCTCATCTCCCATCGGCAGCTTTGGAGACTGCATTCAGATCCATTTTATTCCTAATCAACAAAGGTTGTGTGTGGGCACAGAACCAGGTCACTGTTGCTGAAATCGCATGTTAAAGTGATTAGGTTACATCAGCGCTGTGTGTTTTGGACTCTCTAAAGAGTGTGGTGGGATTTTTCCAGCTCGCCAGTGGTCGGGATGATGTCTGTGTGTTACAGTCTGTCTGCACCTACTCTGGGTGCTTTGAAAACCGCAGGCATGTTTTGCTCCCCGTGTCTCTGATGGTTTAGTAATATAAAGTTCATTCAGAATTTTCCAGATTATCTCATTGCATCAGAAAGGGTATAGTTGCATAAAATTGAAACTGCATGTGAAGGTCTGAGGATGTCTGGAGATTTGCCTGGTAGCTGCCAGTTTGAAGGTAGGCCTGTCATAATCATAACATTTTTGACAGTGATTAATTGTTGATTGTAATTAATGATAATTAATTTTTTTTTCATTAATTTTGAGAAGATTACGATGTTAGTCACATTAACTTACATTTTTATGCCATAATGTGAATAAATGGCATAAAAATGTAAAATGTACTAAAATATTTCAACTGATTTGGAGTGCTCCTATAAGACAAATAAAATTAAACAACATAATTAAAAATATATATAATTTTGTTGTTTGTTTTTGTATTTGTTTAAAATGTCTTTTTACTGTGATATATTAATGTAATTTAACATTATTTAGTTAAATAATATAATATAATATAATATAATATGTGACCCTGAACTACAAAACAAGTCATAAGTCAAACGGGTATATTTGGAGCAATAGCCAAAAATACATTGTATGGGTCAAAATGATCGATTTTTGTTTTATGCCAAAAATCATTAGGATATTAAGTGAAGATCATGTTCCATGAAGATATTTTGTAAATTTCCCACCGTAAATATATCAAAACGTAATTTTTGATTAGTAATATGCATTGCTAAGGACTTAATTTGGACAACTTTCGAAAGGCGATTTTCTCAATGTTTTTTTTGCACCCTCAGATTCCAGATTTTCTAGTAGTTGTATACAATAGTTGTATCTCGGCCAAATATCGTCCTATCCTAACAAACCATATCTCAATTTAAAAAAATTGACCCTTATTGCAGTTTTTTTTGGTCACATCTAATATAATATTTAATAATATTAAATAATAATCATATAATACATCAAATAATCTGACCAGACATTTCTGTAATAATTATGACAGGCCTACTTTTATTTAGGAGATCTCTTGTGATGGTATGCGCTTGCTTTTTTTCTACAAGTTTCTATCTTGATTTTAAAAGTACGCTTATTTGATGTTTATGCAGTCAATTTTTTCTTGATGCAGTGCTTGATGTTTTGCAGTGGTCTTGGAATTTCTACTAACACGTAACGTGGGTACAGTATAATCTTGTCAAAAACAAACTGTCCCTTTCTTTTCATGGTAAACTTAGTTGCTTGGTGCACTTTTTACATTTGAAAACTAATAAAAAAAGTGCTCAGATAAGAAAAACTATGAAATGTTAGCGTTCAGCGTTTATTGATGAATTAACCCCTGGGTGGTTGCTTTGTTTTGGTGTATTAGAACACTGTTCCTTAACGACAGAGCAGTGATTGGACGTGCAGCAGGGTGGGGGCGGGGCTTAAAAGCAGAACAGTCCAATCATCATCTGCGGCACTCTATTTAAGGATCTTATGAGCTGCTCAAACTAATTATTACCATCTGCACTTTCAAGAGAAGCTGTTCTGTCATCCGTGGCCTAATTTCAGTGTGTTTATGTGTACAGCAGGAGTCTGATGAACTGCTTTTACTGTGGGCAAAGTGGATTTCAGCCAGCTGTAGTTTCCCTCTTCGTGTTTGCTTTGGACAGTACCGGTTGTTCACATAGGAATGATTTATTTCCAAACTTGATCCCCTCTACTTTACGAGCCACAATTTAGGATTGTGTAGGAATCAATCTAGTAATAAATCTGAGGTTATGATGTCAGCCTTTGATGGAGTTTACGGCGCTTTTCCAGCTCACCGCTCGACTGCAGCCGGAGAAAATCTCAAAACTCAATACTCAGCTTTTTCCAAAAATCCGCTTTCCTCTACCCCCCCACCCCTTTACAGTCACAGTGAGTTTTTCAGTGCTGGTGGCAGCCTAATGTTAAAGAAATCACCCAGAAATGATTCTGCTGCGGTTTTTGCAATGAAACCCAAACAATCTGAAGGATCTTTATGCAGCTCTTTAACATTAAAAGACAGTTCATAGTGACTAGCTCCAAAATGAACATTAAAGAAGTTCATACTATTCAAATCTTCTGAAGCCATACAAAATCTCTGAGGGACAGACTGGCATATTTTGTGGCATAATTACGTCCATCCATTTTCTATGCCCACTTATCCTATGTAGGGTCATGGAAGAGTTCTAGAGTAAAAATAAAGTTATTCCCTGAAGTTAATTGTTATACTATTTGCTATTTATTTTATTTGTAATAACTGCTTTATTTGTAGTATTTTATAACATTTGGAGCTTCACAGTCAAGGTCAGTTGTTCAAGAGCTGCTTGAAGATTCTTCAAAAATTACATAATTGTCGGCTCCGATAGCGTAATGGGCAGCGTGCTGACATATAGCGCCATAGTACTTCGGGCATCCCGAGTTCGAGTCCTGGCTCGCAGACATTTCCCGATCCTGCCCCTCCTGCACTTTGCTTCCTAAAATAAAGGCATAAAACGCTAAAAATAAATCTTAAAGAACAATTCCATGATTGTTCATTTTTTGGGTGAACTATTCCTTTAAAGGGGTCCTATTATGCTCTTTTACACAGTCTTGATTTTGTTTTGGGGGTGTACTAGAACAGGCTCTCATACTAGGTTAAACACATAATTTTTCAAATATTTTATATTATTACAACACCTCTCTCCCCAGTCTGGCATGAACGGCTCGAATAGTTCCTGTATCAAATGAAGGCCCGCCTTCTGAAATGCGAACTGTGCTGTGATTGGTTAGCTGGGCCAGTGTGTGCTGTGATTGGTCGGGAAATGTCACGCTCCTTACCATAGCCGCCTGCAAGCTTCAGTGTAAATATTGCATCAAAATCAAATCAATTTGAGCGCGATTTAAACCTGGATGATTGTATCCACTCTAAGTTCGTCTGCCTTGGGAAAGCTAGCGTGTCTCGGACATAGTGATAACACTCGTTGCCTTCTCTAGTGCAGCTCAGCCAGGTCTCGTCCCATTCGTCGATATTCGTGATATCACAAATCCCGGAAAATATACGTTGTAGTCCAAACGAGTCGTCCGTTGTAGTTTTTGAAAATTTCTGCTAAATAAAATATCTCCTTTTGAATTGGCCTTTGAGCTTTGCAACTTCGCAGATCTTTTTTTATGCTCAAACAGCAACATTACAGACTAACTGAAGTTGAAAAAGTGAAAAAGCATAATAGGACCCCTTTAAGAATCAAGTCTGATTATTCTTGAGTCATTCTTGGCTTCGGTCTAAAGTGTAAAGAAGCGCTCCAGGGTATTTAACCCCAGTGATCAGCAGTATAAGATGCTTTCAATGGAAAGAATCTGCTAAACGACGTGCTGAAGGTCTGAGCCAGGTGTGAAGCGCTCAATCTGTCAGCTCTCAGCTGCGTGTGCAGGAATGTGAAATTACGTCCTTCTTTATCGGATGTCGTCGTAAAATGAGGCATCCCATCTTGAACCCCTAAACCCTGTCCAAGAGCTGAATGGAGCTGTTTGTTGAAGTTAGCTAGCAGTTGTTGTTTATTCAGCTTGTATTCGTGCTTTTGTTGCAACTGCATATTATGTTATTGTCATCTGTGTTGTGTATGAGGTTGTGTTGTTGTTTGTTGTAATTTAGTGGAGCTTGCTAAGGAAAGCAACATCGTTCATACTTAGTTTGGTTTGTAAATTATGCATAAGTGATACCTCAAGTGATCACCTAAAATTGCTTTTCTAGCTCTTAAGATGTATAATGTTGGCCGGATGTTGTAAATCAAATCCTGTAAACTTGGAGGAGGGAGTTGTATCTAGAGACCAGAATGCCACATATTGACACGAGGCTAGCAACACACTAATAACCAGATTCTGTCTAAACCTGGAAGTTTAAATCTAGTTAACCAGAAAGTGAAATTAGTGTACATAATAATAATAATAATAATAATGTCTTTTATATAATTTTCCAGGCATACGCTCGCTTTGCTGGAGCTCCGCTCAAAATTTACAAGATTTCTAACCCCTGGAGAAGCCCCACAGGTAAGCAGGCAAAGAAAAAAAAATTTTTTAACAATCTGTTTCTTGGCAAACACTCCACATTCATTAAGACGAACATTTAGCGTGTGATTTAACTGAAGCACGCAGGCCTCTTCCTCTTTCCTGCCGAGCTGCTGATAACTTGCATCTGTATGTTTTCTCTTTCCACATTCTTGTCTGTCTCCGTTATTATTTTCCTTGGCTCCTGAATTCTTCCAAATTTCAGTATTATTCCATATTGAAGACCAATGTCCCTTCAGCAGTTTTATGTTGGGTAGACCCTTTGACTTTGCAGGAACAGCTTATGCACTACATTCACTTCATCATTCTTTACAAAGAAATTAAATAAAAAGACCATCCAAAGTATAACAGTTAATTAGCCTTATCACATTATAGCGGACATATGATTGATACATTTTACAGCTACTAAAACCTTAATAAATAAACATTATTTAGTTCTTTAATTTGTTTATTTAAAAGATCATTTTATTTATTTGTATTTTTGGAAAAATGAATACTTATTCAGCAATTATGAATTAAATTGATCAAAAGTTACAGTAAAGACTTAGTATAAAAATTCTATTTCAAATAAATGCTATTCTTTCGCACTATATATTTATCAAAGAATTTTGAAGAAAAAAAAAGTATCACAAATTCCAAAATATATCAATCCGCACAACTGTTCATTATGTAATATTATGTTTTCTAGAGATCACGCATTTATATTTTTGATGTCCAGAGTGATTGTCGAATGTTTAAATGGACTACGTCATTAATTATCTTTATAGGCCTATAGAAAATAAATGTTTTTTTTTTATGTCTTCACTGAAGGTTCACTTCCTGCTCTCAGGACCAAAGATGAAGGCAGCTGCTCCCAACCCAGTCAGATCATCATTCAGTTGAGGAAACAGGTGATTATGTCTTTCCTCGCTGCTGTCATGGTCACGTTTTGCTTTTCTTAAAACATTACACAAGTGTCCCTGTATATTTAACTCTTTATTTCGGTTTCATTCGTTTGAGAACCGCAGCCTTTCCAGTGATGCCTGCTGCCATTATAAAGGCTCCCCTAATTTTCTCATTAATCATGTTTGATTGCACAATGAAGGTACCCATTAAATTTGAATGGAATGAGACACAATAAACATGTGTTTTTAGGAAAGGTTTTAATTAGGTGCATAATTAAAACCCTTCCTAGAAACCCGTTTATAGTTTCTCATTCTACCAGTAGTAGTGCTGTTCTACCCAGAGCTGCGTACAGAGTCAGGAGCATACACAGATCAGATCAATGCTTGCAGATTTATTCACAAAACACTACACAACTGGAAATAAGTTCGCATTTTGGACTTCCGGTTTCTTAGTCCCAAAGTCAATGGGTTTTTCTTGAATAGGTTTGATTAAATGCCTGAAATAATGTCTGTGATGGACTGAAGCAACTTTTATGTAATGCTACATGGTGATGATTTTAAGCTTTTACATGTCTTGGAAAAAGGCTCTTGCTGACAAGTGGCTAAATGGGAATACAGAGGTTGTCAGAAACAGTAAAGCTTGCAAACTGTTCTAACTCGGACGTTCCAACTTGTAGATTTTAAATAAAGATTAAAAGATTTGTCAAAAGCGATCGGGGTATAACAAACTTTACTTCTGCTTCTAGCATTCAAACAACAAAACAATGAAACAAATTTGTGATAATCTCAAAATTTTGCTGGTCACAGAGCATATGCTTTCTGCAATAATAAAAAAGCCAATGGAAAAATCGTATTGGCTTTTTGACTGATGACAGAAAGTCTGGACTCCATAGCCGTTTTCATTGGTCAAGGACCGCCCAAGAGGCCATCTGACAGACATGTAAAGCAACCTGTCACAGTTTGATTTGTTCAGTGTCGTATAGTAATACTGGAAATTTGTGTTTCAGAAATACAATGCAGACTATGATCTCTCGGCCAAAGAGGGCGCAGACACACTGGCCTTCATCTCACTGCTGGAGGAGCGACTGTTACCTGCGCTGGTGAGATTCAAACCCTGGACCTTGAAGAGGAAATTTTAGTGGGTGCATGCTCAAACTCTCATCTCCCTGCAGATCTACGCTTTATGGATCGATCCTAAAAACTATGTGGAGGTGACGCGCCGCTGGCATGGAGAGAATATGTCCTTCCCGCTCAACTTCTTCCTGCCGGGCCTCATGCAGAACAGGCAGCTTGAGCGACTCCGCCTGATCCGGGGAAACAGTTCGCTGGAGGCGGGAGAAGAGGCAGAGAAGGAGGTTGGTGGGATTCTGAATATTGTGTTTGTTTTTGCTGTGCGATATGCATCAGATGGTGGGTGGGCTGTGTCTGTTGTGACACTAACTCCTCCCTGCGACACCAGGGCGGCTGTTAGACTCCAGCCAGAGGCAACAGTGTTCTGGTCCCCGAAGAGGACACTGATAAACCAGCAGATGTGTGGAATCTGGGCTCAAACAGAGCAGAAGTTCTGTTCTGGCAGAGAATTCTATTTTAGATAGTTGCTAGTCTGATGCTCTGCTTGTTTATGACTCGGTGAGTCACAATGTGCATGCTTGTGAACTGTTCACTACGGCTGAGCGATATATTAAATGTTACGTTTGCGATGATGCTTTTAATGCCGTATGAAAGGAATAGTCCACCAAAAATGAACTTTCTGTCGTCATTTACTCCCCCTTGTGTCTTTCCAAACCTGTATGACTGTCCTTTTTCTACAGAACATGAAAGAGCATATTTTAAAGAATGTTGGTAACCAAACAGTTTTGGACTTAATGTTTTTGTCCATACACTGAAAGTCAATGTGAACCAAACTGATTGTTTACCAGCATTCTTCAAAATATCTTCTTTTGTGTTCTGCAGAAGAAAGAACGTCATAAAGGTTTGAGAAGACATGAGGGGGAGAAACGGATGACATTTTCATTTTGGGTGGACTATCTCTTCACTAGCACATTCACACCAAGAAAGAAAACTATATTCGCTTCCACACCAATGCACGATGGTGTTCTGCACTTGTGTTATATCGTCTGCTGCTTTAAATGCTCAAGTTCTTTAAAGTTGAGTTCTGATTGGCTCTTCAAAGGTGGATACTGGTTTTATCATTCATCAGCTGTAAAAAAAAAAAATCGTTCTGAAAGTGATTTCAATAACGTTCCTTTGTGTCATTAAAGTTATAACTGTGGTGTGGTGTTTTTTTTTATGTTTTGGAAGAAATAAATGTTGGTAAAAATACTATCATACTATTATTATATAAATGTTGGTAATACTACTATTATAATATTTATATACTATACTATATACTATTTAAATACTATACTTGTATACTATTATTTAAATGCATTGGTATGTTGATCCATGCGAATAGAAATTATTAAATGCATTTCTTGTTCATGGTTATTTGGTGAGAAACATTTTAACTAATGTTTTTCTTCTTGCATTTAATCCTTTTTAATCAAATCACTTCAGTGGATAAAACAAAGCTTCCTCTAACTGAAGAAAAAAAAATCGGTTACACTTTGTTTTAAGGTGTCCTTGTTACAGTGAAATTATACATTTAAGGACTGAGTAATATTAATTAACTACATGTCCTTACAATATGGTTAGGATTAGGGTTTGATTTAGGGTTACTTGCATGTAATTATGCATAATTTATTGTTATTATAATAGTAAGTGCATGTAACGTGTAACAACGACACCTTTAAAATAAAGTGTTACCAAAAAATGTTTTTCAAAGCAAGTACATGAATATTGAGATATATAAGGCTAAATACTGAGATATAAAACAATGACTGATAGAAGTAGAGAAAAACTAACATAAGAATCTATAATCTAGTTGTTTCTTCCACATCCTCTCAGTTGTTATTATTCTCTGTGACTCTCTCCATCTTACCCCTCCAGCTTTACCACGATGCTCTGGAGTGCCTCAATCTTCTCTCTCAGCGACTGGGATCGAACACATTTTTCTTTGGCGATTCGTAAGTGTTTTACACATCAAGGTTGACCTTGAAGCTTTACTCTGTTGATTATGGGTTAGGTTTAATATGCATTTGATGTCTTTGTGTGTGTGCGTTAAAGGCCCTCTTCTCTAGATGCATATGTCTTTGGTCATCTAGCTCCGCTTATTAAGATCCGGCTGCCTAACTGCCGACTGCAGCAGAACTTGAAGAATCTGGACAACTTGAACACATTTTGCTGTAACATCCTGAGCTTGTACTTCCCCAGCGAGAGTAAAGGTGGGAGACCAACAACCACAATAAAGTGCTTGCAAAGAACAAAACATCCATTGTTCTGTCTGTAGAATAAGAGTCATTGAGTCCTCATGTTCGTGCCTGTTCTGTTTGCAGAGGGCGTCAATCGTCCGATGTCCAGCACACAGCAGGGGAGCGACTTTGACAACGAGTCATACAAGAGACGCAAGCAGCTGCTGTCAGTACTGGTCGCAGTAGCAGCGATGCTCAGCTACGCTCTCCTCACCGGCATAGTAGCTATTGAGCATGTGCAGGAGCAGGAGCCTGTAGGCCCCGCCTCACTCAGAGGCCCCTCCCATGAGGAAGAGGATGAGTGAAAGTAGGACTTTTTAGTTGCACTAGGATGGTCATGCCTACATGGTGGAAGAAAACACAGGAACAACATATTGTTGGGGATTGATGTATTATTTATTCCTTGGGCTTTAATTGCATGATAATCTTTGATTTTATATCTTATTTTTTCCATAGAGCTGCACTCTTTTGAATGGGTATATTCACCTGTGTTAGCTACAAATGCTAAGCTAAGTTTAGCTGAGAAAGCACTTAAAACTTCACCGTCGTCACCAACCTCAACGTTCATTGTGTGGACCAAAACATATATTACAGTTTTAAATAGCTTTATGATAATGAGAATGAGATTTACATCTCTTACATGCTATTGCCTTATTTAAAGCTCTGTGTTTCTTTTAACACATTTTATTTGCTTAGCTGCATTGTTCTGCTCTGCTGTCAGCACTGGTCTGCTGTTATATACTTCAGAGAGATTAATACTTATGTTAATGTGATGATCCTATTGAGTGAAATGGGAAATTACCAATATTTAATGATGTTAGAGTCTTGAAGACATACAGTAAATCACCAAAAACATATAATTTGTTTGACTTCATGTCTCATTCCAAACCTGTGCGACTTGGTTTCTCATGTGAAATACAAAAGGACATAGTATGTAAAATGTCAACATTGATTTCCTCTCAATTAAAGTGCAGATTTGTGCTCCAGAAGGAGAAAAAGTAGTTCAAACAACTTGTGATCTATTTTCAAAATATTCTGCAGCCATACTTTAGTTAATTTATATAATTATTCACTAAAAATATCCCTCTTGGCTATTGGAACTTATTTGTGCTATATATTCTTGTTCAAATATGCATATGCATGTTAAAATTTGGATCAGCATGTTTGATCGCATGTGAGAACCAATAGCATTTGGCATCACTAATTTGTGCATTGCACATTTGAATATTGCGGCAGAATGATTATTATGGCATATTGTATATGAATAAGCGAACCCTTTAAACACTTCCAGCTTACTGCAAAGGATAAAGAGGAACGGTTTTACATTATTGAGGATTAGAAATGGCACTTGCGTATTTTTTAGGAGAACGTAACAGATTATTAAAGCCAAAAGTTACTGTCCAAAGAAATCTTCCTGACAGACCACAAAACTGGCAAAAGATATTTCAGTTCCTGTAACTTTCCATGAGGTCTATGGCAGTTAAACTAGAGGAGAGTGATTTTTTATTTTTTTATTTAGTTAAACTGTTTGAAAGAGAAACAATGGATTAATGAAGATGGCTGATTTGGATATTGTTACTTATTGTTTGTTGTCTTTTTTTTTTTTTTCTCTAAGCATCTTTGTTTTAGACCATAAAGCTCCAAAACTAGTTCCCTGGTGTGTTGATATGTGTGTATTCATTCATAGAGATGGAAAGGAAACTACAGATTGAACAGTCAGTTAATCTCATTTCACAAGGTGTTACGAGCTGTAAATATATATTGCTTATAGAGTTCTATTTTCATAATTTAATAGGCAAATAAATGGTCCTGAATAATCCTTGTTCTGCAGTGGGTTTCTTTATTTTCTGCAGTTGCAATGCTGTATTGACACAGAGGGAGTTGCTGATTTTATCTGTTGCATTGTTGTAACAAGTGACCCTGAGCTGAGGACTGTGTGTGTGAATTGGAGGTTGTAAGAGAGAAAGATATTTGTTTCAAGCTACGGTTTACCTGCCGGCAATGTTTCCGAGCATCAGAGCTGATTGAGCGAGGGCTCTGTGAATTGGTGCCCTGGGGAGACGCAGCTGTGTGTTACAGCACCAGACTGGAATCCTTCTCTGGCTCCTGTTCGTTTCCTTGTATTTGTGTGTGGAAACATAGTGAACCCCCTCCCCAGCACTAGATCCAGAGAAATCAGGAGCTCCCCGAAGCCGCACGACATCGTTTAATGACCTCAGAAGAATCATTTGGGAAAGAATTCCTGTTCAAGAAGGAAAAATGCATTTGGATTGTGCTCATTTTCCACACAGGGATTGAGACGGGGAAGCGGTGGGTGGGGTTATACAAGTCTGAACTATGTGTCATGGACCAAACCGGTTCTGGTTTTGTTCAGGGTGTAAAAGTTTGATTCATGACTCCATTGTGAAGATTTTGCTCAAAACTCATATTTTCCCTTCTGGGAAGAGGGCTGTTTAACAAGCTCCTCATTTAAAGTGCTTTCTGATGGTGCTTAGTACAAAAAGCTGAACAATTTTATTTATTTATTTTGTTCTGCTTGCAGGGTCCAGTAAAGCTCAAGTATGACAGAACTGTTCCCCCGACACCTGCTGTTAAAAGCTGTTTCTAGGGAAACTCAGAGGTAATGAAAAATAAACATCACCCCAGGACAGACTGTCGGGACTGGACGCTGAAACTGAACAGCCCTCATGCTCTGCTTTGACATGTCAACAGCATTTTCTTTCTTTATGCCAGGAGATTGTGTTTGCAAGCAGACTGGCACAAAATCAAGAGCTGACACTGGAATTATTAATTTGAGCAAGAATAGATGTCAAAGCCAGTGTTTGCATCTGTTCTTTTCACAATACAACAATTCTTATGGTATTACCATGTGTATTATTTTATGTATTCTACCATGGAGTAAATACAAGGTCTTTAATAACACTGAAAAATGGTGTAGGATTTATTTCTAAACAATTGTCACTCAGAAATTGCTAGTAAATTTCACAAATAATTACAGTACCACAATGTGAAATTATGAGACTATGACAGTATTTTCTTTCAAAACATGCTCCAATAAACTTTAAATTTACAACGTGTAAAAACACATTTTTTTACAGTATTTACAATGTTTCAATATCGAAGAAGGCATTGGTGTCTCGGGTTTTAAAATGTAAAAAAAACCCTGTAAAAAAGTAATAATAATAATAATAATAATTCATTTTATTTAATGGCGCCTTTCTAAACACCCAAGGCAAAGCAAAGTAATCACCTTACAGCAAAGTAAAAACAGTAAAAATAAATGAACAAGTCCTGCCAGCATTACAAAATTCAACAGCACAACTGCATACATCATGAATACAATAAAGGCTTACAAGAGCAATAATAAGAGCAAGTCATAAGAAAGCCTGGGTAAAAAGATAAGTCTTAAGACGAGATTTAAAAGTATGAAGGCTGTCACTGTTCCGTATATTGGGGGGAAGAGAGTTCCATAGGCGAGGGGCCGCAAAACTAAAAGTTCTTGCTCTCATGGTGCTTAAACGTATATGCGGCGACACAAGAGAGATCGAGTGTGAAGATCTGAGAATGCGAGAAGGAGTATAGATTTGGAGAAGGTCCGTAAGATACGGTGGAGCAAGGTTGTGAAGTGCCTTAAATGTGAGAAGCAAAATTTTTAAATCAATGCGATACTTTACTGGGAGCCAGTGTAAACGTTGGAGAACTGGAGAAATGTGCTCTATTGATGAAGTCCTAGAAAGAACACGAGCTGGTGAGTTCTGAACCAATTGAAGTTTATAGAGAAGTTTAGAAGGAAGACCAGTAAGGAGAGCAATACAATAGTCGATACGTGAGGTAACCAGTGCATGAATAAGAATTGCAGTGTTATTCATTGTGAGAGAGGCATGAAGGCGATTAATGTTACGCAGGTGAAAATACGCAGTACGTGTAATATTACTGACATGAAATGGATACCATATTTCCTGAGAATATAGCCAAGAGGAATTAAATAGATGATGAATAAGAGTGGGCCCAAAACAGAACCCTGAGGGACACCATTAGTAACTGTAGATGGTTTTGATTTAAAATGTTTAATTTGAACATGCGGAGTGCGACCGGTAAAATAAGACCTAAACCAGGAAAGTGGGGTGCCAGTAATCCCTATTGAAAGTAACCTGTCCGGGAGGATCTTGTGCGAGATCGTGTCAAAGGTCAAGAAGGACAAGTATTGTTAACAAACCAGAATCAGCTGCCAATAACAAATCATTAGTAATTTTGACAAGTGCAGTCTCTGTACTATGATGAGGACGAAAACCGGATTGGAATTGCTCAAACAATGTATTATTGTAGAGATGATTGTGAACTTGAGCTGCAACACATTTTTCCAAGATTTTAGAAATGAATGGCAAATTAGAAATTGGTCGATAATTTAAAAGGCATTGGTATCTCAGGGGTTTTAAAATGAAAAAAAAAAACGTACATATTAAACGTATATCACAAAAAAAAAAAATATATATATATATTTTTTTTTTTAATCTTTAAGAGCATTTGCCTTAATTGCTACAATATTTTTAGTTTCGCTAGAGGAACCCCGAAACACACTCGCTGCATAATTTGTGCTACTTTCAAAAACAAATTTTTACTGTTTTTTTGTTTTCAAGAGTCCATGGCTGTTGCACTGGGATTTCAAGACTGCTTGTCAAAGTTAAACTTTAAAAAAAAAACGTTCCGGTTTATTTTGGAACGCTGAACGCGTCCTTTGTGAACGCCCCCTTGAGTCTACGCGTGCTATCAATCTTGCGTGTGTGTTTTACTCGAGATTAATGTGTTGTATTATGATGAGGAGGGCGGATTCAGTTCTCAGAGCAGCTCATTCTCTCTCTCTCTCTCTCTCTCTCTCTCTCTTTCCCTCTCTCTCTTCTGTACAAATATATATATATATATATATTTTTTTTTTAAATCTTTAAGAGCATTTGCCTTAATTGCTACAATATTTTTAGTTTCGCTAGAGGAACCCCGAAACACACTCGCTGCATAATTTGTGCTACTTTCAAAAACAAATTTTTACTGTTTTTTTGTTTTCAAGAGTCCATGGCTGTTGCACTGGGATTTCAAGACTGCTTGTCAAAGTTAAACTTTAAAAAAAAAACGTTCCGGTTTATTTTGGAACGCTGAACGCGTCCTTTGTGAACGCCCCCTTGAGTCTACGCGTGCTATCAATCTTGCGTGTGTGTTTTACTCGAGATTAATGTGTTGTATTATGATGAGGAGGGCGGATTCAGTTCTCAGAGCAGCTCATTCTCTCTCTCTCTCTCTCTCTCTCTCTCTCTCTTTCCCTCTCTCTCTTCTGTACAGCGCAGGTTTGTTCCAGTGGAAATATTTCGTGTTTCAGTGCATCGCTGACGAATCTATTCTGGATATTTTCTGCATCACTTTTGCGTGAATTATTTGTAAACATGAAAGTTTGGGTCAGTCTCTTCGTGTTTATGTTCATCTGGTTCGCAGAGAGCGCACAGAAACAAGACGTACCGGGTAAAAATTTTTTTTTTTAAATAACTTTCATAATTAGTTACACTGACCTCTCTCAGGTAGTTATCAGTTAATATTCTTTATCTTTCCTATATATAGGCCTATATATTTTAAAGTCATTTAATTTCTTTGTTTTTAATTCGCGTTCACTCTTTTGCTGTCTTTAATTTGTATTCACTCTGTTTTGAGAAAGTTTGAGAACATCCCACCTCGTCCCTTTTCATTAAAGCTCTTACAGAAGAAGAGTCAGGGGACATGGTTAGATTAGGTTGTTCTAGGAGATTGTAGTAGCTACTAGTAGGCTATAGTAAATTCCTCATTCACTCACTCTGTTTTCTTTTCTTTTCAGTGAATCAGTTGACCCATTTCAAAAACCTAGTCTAAATGATTAATTCACAAATAGGTCTGATCCAGTTCTCCAGTTCAACTCACTGACTTTTGATCGATTTTACTAATTTAAAATGTAACATTTTTATTTAACCAACCAAATAACTTAAGAACAAGATGGACTGGGAAGGAATGAAAACTATTAAGAATAATTAAAAATAAATGCCATGGATTACATCAGAATAATGATACATAATAGACTTGATGTATTAGAAAAGACATAAACTCTAAAAAGCTTGCTAAGATAAAATAATGGAATTATTGGCCATTATTGAAAAAACAGAATTGTTGGACTTTACTGTGCAAGAGTCATATGGACTGCTTTTGTGGGGCTTTTATTGCTTTTCATTTTATTGGTCGTTTTGGTTGTTATTCGATTTTGACAGCTGTGGTCACTATAAACTCTCACTGTACAAAAAAAATGAGTGAAACATTTCTACATTCTTGGAAAAATAACAGTATATGCATTTGGAACAACATGACATTATTCATTCACGGTTCCATTATTTCTCGCTGTCTCTGTTTGGCTCTCTCAGTGATAGACGTGTTGAGTTTGGAGGATGTGAAGCAGACCGTGGCTGCGGTGGAGAAGATCTCTTTAGCTCTGAAGACTCTCAGTGATGTGTATGTGATGTCTTCCTTCCGTCTGCCTCCTAAACTGGGTGGAGTTCTGCTGGGCCTCTACAACAAGCAGGATAACAAGAAATACCTGGAGGTTGCCATCATGAGCAAGATTAACAAAGGTAATGACCTTTTTTTGTAATCTATAATCAGAATCAACTTGCTTTTTCTCTGAAACAGCTTTTCTTTTCTGTTGACTTCACTGCATATGCTGTTGTATAATGCATGTTGCTGGTTGTTTCAACATACTTGCATTCAGATTTGGCTCCATTTTGATATGGAATGCCCATCAAATCATTTTTGAAATAAAGAAAATCAAGTCCTGCCCTTCATTTTCTTATTGAATATTCTTTTTCACTTGTAAATACATCACATCACAGAGATCAAATGGGTTGCGGATTTGGTGTCTCCTCAGAACATCTCTAAAAGGTTTGTTTTACTCTAGTTCTGGTCCGGTATGTTCGTGAAGATGGGAAGCTGCACACAGTAAACCTGCAGAGCCCAAATCTGGCAGATGGACGGTCTCAGTCTGTTATTCTCCGTGTCGGTGGCCTGCGCAGAGAGTACCTGAGCCTCGAGCTCTATGTGAACTGTCGTCTGGCTGACTCTGCCCAGCGGCTGCCCCTATTGGTCGCTCTGCCCAGAGATGCAGAGCTGGTGGAGATTCGTAATGGCCACAAGGCATACACTCGAATGCAGGTGAGACCAACATAATATGACCTTGATAATATGAGTTTCACAACACCTGCACTACCATTCAAAAGTTTGGGCTCTGTATTATTTTGTAATGATTTTTTAAAGTTTCTTATGCCAGTGCTGCATTTATTTGATCAAACATTCAGTTAAAAAAATTGTGAAATATTCTCATATTTTAATATTTAAATAAGTGGAATAGTGCTCAAGAAATATATTATCAATACAAACAGTTGTGCTGTATAATATTTATGTGGAAACTGAAGTCCAAAAGAACATAATTTATTTGAAATATAAATATTTTGTAATAATGTAAAAGCCTTTACTATTTTGACCGATTTAATGCATTTCTTGCTGAATAAAAATATAAATTTCTTTAAAAAAATCTTACTGGCCCCAGATTTTTGGACAGGAGTGTGTATTAATATTTTTTTCCATGGAAGGCAGAAATGTGAACATGATATGAACTGTGCATATTCTTCAGAAATTCTTCTTTTTGAGTTTCAATGAAACAATAAAGAATTCAGGTTTTCATAAACTAATTAAGTTTAACTATTCCTTTAATTTTTTATGAAAAAAGAGATTAGTTGTTGTGATTGGTTAAGAACTGAAGTCCAGATATCAAGACTCCTATTATATCAAATACTATAATCAAATGTTTTTCGTCCAGGGTTCAGTGGAGTATCTTAAACTGGCACTAGGGGGCACTGTTGCCCAGGCTGGGGCTCTTACCGACTGCCCCTTTCAGGGGGACGCCTCTTCATATAACATAGGTTAGCCAACAGCAACACAAGATTGTACATGGAGCTTGAATGTGTGGTTTTTGATTGCCTGCAAAATCTTTGTCTGAAATATGTTTTGTTTCAATTTTGTTTTTCAGTGAATGGCGAGGTTAATTCTATTCTAGGTGAGTGGACATTGGTGAAGTCACGATATGCAATTTGTTACTTTTGTATTTATTTAATTTGAAGATATTTCACACCTTTTTGTACAGGTGACCACACTAAAGCTCTTATTGGCCAGCTGATCATCTTTAATCAGATCTTGGGAGAGCTGAGAGAGGACATCAGAGAACAGGTGTGAGTGAGTTAGTATATATATGTGAGGGAATCTGTTCTGAACATGTTTGATTTATGTGTTTTTGCACTATTTAGGTGAAAGAAATGTCTCTCATCAGGAATGCTATTCTGGAGTGCCAGATGTGTGGTGAGTAGCAATGTCAAATCATCAAACCATCCAGACATGGGCTGCAGTCAGACAGCAAAAAAAAAAAAACGGTTTTCAGTCCTATTTGTAATGCTATAGCTGGGTTAAGAAAGAGAATAATAACCAGAACAACAGGCGACAACTAGTTGTTTGTCATGCCTTTGTAAAGGATTCCTGACAGGATTCCTCTTGATAGATTTTATATTATTATTATTACACTCTAAAAAATGCTGGGTTAAATACAACCCAGTGCTGGGTAAAGTAGGGACAAACCCAGCAATTGGGTTGTTTTGACCCAGCAGTTGGGTTACTACCCAGAAGGTTGGGTTAAACATTTAACGAAACCGCTGGGTCGAAACAACCCAATTGCTGGCTTTGTCCCTATTTTACCCAGCACTGGGTTGTATTTAACCCAGCATTTTTTAGAGTGTATTATTATTATGATTATAATTATACAAACTCTTTATTACATGGGATCAGAGAGTGAGTATAAAAAAACACCCATTCAAAATTTTGTGGTTCAGTTGTAATTTAAAATAACTATTTTCTGTTTTAATACAATTTATTCCTGTGACGACAAAGCTGAATTTTCAGCATAATTTAAGTCTTTAGTGTCACATGATCCTTCAGAAATCTTTGTAATATGCTGTTTTGCTGCTCAAGAAACATTTCTTATTATTATCATCATCATCATCATCATCATCACTATCATCATCATCGTCATGTTGAAAACAGCTGTGCTGCTTAAAATTTTTGAGGAAGCCATAATCATTTTTTTTTTCCATTTTGATTCTAAGAGAAAGATTGAGATTAGATGAGATTTAAGATGAGATTTAATTTTATGCAATTTAATGCATCCTTGCTAAATATAAAAGTATTAATTTCTTTACCAAAAAAAAAATCATACTAACCCCAGACTTTTGAATTGTAGTATATAATTATTTTTTGCCTGCATATTATTTGAGAGGATGGAATCATCAGCAGTGTCAAAAAATGGCAAACAGTTTATAATAAAGGTGAAATATTGATTAAAATTGCTAAAATAATGACTGCCAGTGTCTGCCATTTTTCAGGCAAACTGAAAGCCTCTCCACAAACCTCCCAGTATTTGAAACAGCAAACTATAGAATGTATCCCTAATCTAATTCAAATGTCTGGACTTTTATTTCATGATTAAAATTCTTATTTCATATCTAACGCATTTGGTCAAAAGACACTTTTACATAAAACTGAATCAGGAAGTCAATAATGAGGTCACGTGATCATGTTTGAAATATTTATCTCTGCATAATGCATTCTGTTTCAAATACTACTTTTTAATAGTAGGCAGTATACAGTGTATACTATATATGCAGGAAGCAGTACGCTATTCTGACAGAGGGTTTTAGATACTTTTGTGTATGTATAATTCACATGATATTAGATTTCTTAAGCTTATTGATTCTTACTGACTTATTATGATACAATGTCTCTGGTTTGAAGGATTTCATGAGCCACGTTCACGCTGTCAGCCCAACCCCTGCTTTAAGGGCGTGGGCTGCATGGAGACGTTCGATTTCCCAGGCTACCGCTGTGGCCCCTGTCCGGAGGGCATGATGGGGAACGGCACACACTGTCAGGATATAGATGAGGTGGGTGAGGGCATTTAGTGCTGGTTTTATCTTTGTATACTGATAAGTCTTGGTCCAGAAACCACTGTAACTGGGTATGTCCGTGTTTCAAAGAGATTTGAATAAACATGCCTTTGTTTTGATTTGTTAAAGCTGTTTCATATTAACATGTCTCTCCCCATCAGTGTGCAGAGGCTCAGCCGTGTTATATACCAGGCACATGTGTCAACACAGCAAAAGGTTTCACCTGTGAGCCCTGCCCACCCGGACTGTGGGGTCCTCCTCTCTCTGGATTCGGTGTGGAATATGCAAAGAGTCATCATCAGGTACCGTGCATTTATTTGATCAAAGATACAGTAAAAGCTGTAGTATTGTGAAATATTATTACAATTTAAAAGAACCGTTTTTATGTTAATAATCATTTTTAAATGTAATTTATTTCTTGTGATGGAAATTTTAACATCATTACTCCAGTCTTCAGTGTCACATGTAATTCAGAAATGATTGTAATATGCTGATTTCCTGCGCAAGAAACATTAAAAGTATTTTTATGAGCTGGATAATATTTTTGTGGAAACTACTGTGAATATTTTTTTCAGGATTCTTTGATCAATAGAAAATTCAAAAGAACAGCATTTACTGTATATAAAATTGAAATCTACAGTATAAATGTTTTTACTGTCCCGTTTGATCAATTTAATGCATTGGAATTTGTTATAAAATGTCAAATAAACACTAATAAAGTGACACCAAAATTTTTTTTCAGATAATGATGGGATTGGAGACCAGTGTGATGAGGATGCAGATGGAGACGGAATAAAGAACGTAGAGGTGTGTTTGTGGACTAACGAACAGTGTTGTTAATGTTAACGTAAAACTATTAAAAATTTGTTTCATTATTTGAAATATATTGAAATATAAATGTTAGATGAAAATGTTTAACTTGAAAACGGAAATGAGAAATGTTGCCTGGGAACTGACTGAAAAAATGTACTAAAATTAATAAAATAAAACTGAAATAAAAATAAACTGAAGCTAAATGGAAATATAAAAAACTAATAAAATAACAAAATTACTCAAATTAAAATTCAATCTGAAAATATAAAAATAAATGAATAAGTATAATACTATATAAATATTAATTTTTTTTCAGGATAACTGTCGGTTGGTTTCCAATAAAGATCAGCAGAACTCTGACACTGATTCGTTCGGTGATGCATGTGATAACTGTCCCACCGTTCCCAACATCGACCAGAAAGACACTGACAATAACGGAGAGGGAGATGCTTGTGATGACGACATCGATGGAGACGGTAAAGACTGTTCAGTTTGATAAAATGATCTTTTTTTGTGTCCCTACAACATCATCTTTGTGTATGTGAATGTGAGTGTGGATGTTTTGCAGGAATCCAGAATGTGCTGGATAACTGTCCCAAAGTGCCGAACCCAATGCAGACAGACCGGGACAGAGACGGAGTGGGGGATGCGTGTGACAGCTGTCCTGAGATCAACAACCCCATGCAGGTCCTGCATCTCATCTTAGTTTATTTCAAACTTTTAAACTTGCATCATACATCGATGCAGTCTGTAAAAGAAGTTCACTCAAAAATGACATCTGTGTCATCATTTACACACCCTCATGTCCGTACAAACCAGTGGGACTTGCTGTCTTTTGTGGAAAATAAAAGAAGGCTATATATAGTATATTACATTTCGGACTGTTTCTAATACAAAGCTGTCATATATCTTCAGAAGACTTTAAATTGAACACACATTTCAAATTGACAAATTTTATGATAATATATGGTGTCATTTTGAAACTTAATAGCACCTGTCTTCATTCACTTTGCAGTATAATTCTTCATCATTCAATTTTCATAATATTTGTTTAACCAGTATAATTCGTAATTTCTTCACAAAGCAAAGTCCAGCTCTCACTTATTGAAGAGTTATTCCTGCTATGCAGTTCCTTTTGATCTCTGTAAGTTAAAAAAAATGTATATGCTTTGGTGTAATTTAATGATCAGACATGCTCAGACACATACACTTGATTTATTATGACTCAATTATTTGCACAATGGCAAGAAAATTAGCAGGATGAAAAAAAGAACATTGATTGGATTTATTTACACGAGGGGAGTCAACATATCAATGGCTTTTTATGACAAAGGACATCATATAAATTGATGACCAATTACAGCATTATTGGAGATATTTATTTGTGCGTCAGTTTATTAATTTTGTGTTTATTTATTTATTTTTAATTTGTGAGTTTGTTTAATTATTTATGGGATTAATTTTTTCGATGTGAAATTTGTAAAACAAACCGTAAATGGATGTTTCTTCATATTAGTAGTTAGTGCAGCACATGGACAACAATTTTGAAAAAAGTTTATACAGGTTAACTTTTATTTTTATATTTAGTAATTTTGTTATGTGCTTTTGTCTTTTTCTTTTTTGCAATAACAATTTTTAGGCAAATTTATTGTTTATTCCTTTTTTTAAGTTTTAGTTTCTGTGTATTTCCAGTTTGTGATTTTGTAGTGAACTTGTTTCAGTTAGTTATCAAGGACACATTTCTCATTTTCGTTTAGTTATTCATTTAATATTTATATTTTATTGTATTTCAGTTACAGTGACAATAATAATTGTATTCCTGTTTGGAATGAAAGGGAACTATTCCTTAAACAAATCATTTGAGTAACTGAAAAACAGCTAGTTCTTGCTTCTGCAGTAAATTATCTTTTCATATACTTTTATGAATGAATAATAAAGTCAATTATTACTATTGCAGACAGATGTAGACAATGACTTAGTCGGGGATGTTTGTGACACCAATCAAGACACGTGAGTAAACAACTCAAATGTAAATTCAAACATAGAAATCACACAATTGGCAGATTATCCATTGACTCATTAACGTGTATATGGTAAGACTTCTGCCATCTAGTGTATAAGAGTTGCTCATAGTTGATTTTCAGCTCAGACACGCAGTTCAGCTCATAGTGTTTAATGTTGTGTGTTTGCAGTGATGGAGACGGACACCAGAACACTCGAGATAACTGCCCCGACATTCCAAACAGTTCTCAGCTGGACTCGGACAATGACGGCATCGGAGATGACTGTGACGATGACGATGATAACGACGGGGTCCCGGACAATCATGCCATCAATGGCATCGGACCCGATAACTGCAGACTCATTTCCAACCCCAACCAGAAAGACTCAGACAGTAAGAGCGTTCATATCTACTAATGGCTAATAATCCTCCTGATTAATGACTTGCGTTATTCCTTTCTGTCTTGTCATGTAGGTAACGGAGTCGGTGACGTATGTGAGAATGACTTTGACAATGATGCAGTGATGGATTTGATTGACGTGTGTCCAGAAAGTGCTGAAGTCACACTTACAGATTTCAGAGCCTATCAGACAGTCATTCTGGACCCGGAGGGTGACGCTCAGATCGACCCGAACTGGGTGGTGCTCAATCAGGTAAAGCATCATGGGATTCCTTCTGCTCTCATTGACACAAGATCATCATGTTGTTCTATTTTTTTTTCATAGATAAAATTTTACTTTTAAATAATAAACTGATGTTTATCCGGTGCCTTCTGACTTCGAGTATGAAGGAAATAATAATAATAATAATTTATGCATTTAGCAGACGCTTTTATCCAAAGCGTCTTACAGTGCATTCAGGCTATTCATTTTGTACCAGTATGTGTGTTCCCTGGGAATTGAACCTACGACCTTTTGCGCTGCTAACGCAATGCTCTACCATTGAGCCACAATGAAAAATTTCTCTCTCTCTCTCTCTCTCTCTCTCTCTCTCTCTCTCGTTTTCACACATATGGAGGATCATCCCTCGCTCACGCTCATATCAGAACCGTTTAATTAAAAGCAGCTCCGCTCTGTTTCAAATCTCACTTAAGCCCTGCGGTCACACGCACACACACTAATCATCTTTTTCTGGTTCTCTCACCCCTTCTTTACCAAAAAAACCCTGTTGCTATGAACATTTACAAACTAAAAAAAATACAAATAGCTGTTTACTGTACATGGACATGATGCAAAAACTCATTTAATACACTTACACTACCATTCAAACGTTTGGGATTGGTAGGAAGTTTTAATGCTTTTAGTCTTTTTGCTCACCAAAGCTTCATTTATTTAATCAAGAATACAGTAAAAGCAGTAACATTGTGAAATATTATTATCATTTAAAATAAGTGTTTTCTATCTGAATATGTTAGAATGTAATTTGTTCCTGTGATCAAAGCATCATTACTCCAGTCTTCAGTGTCACATGATCTTCAGAAATTAATTTATTAATTTAATAACAATTTAATTTATGCATTTAGCAGACGCTTTTATCCAAAGCGTCTTACAGTGCATTCAGGCTATTCATTTTGTACCAGTATGTGTGTTCCCTGGGAATTGAACCTACGACCTTTTGCGCTGCTCATTTTGTACCAGTATGTGTGTTCCCTGGGAATTGAACCTACGACCTTTTGCGCTGCTAACGCAATGCTCTACCATTGAGCCACAATGAAAAATGTCTCTCTCTCTCTCTCTCTCTCTCTCTCTCTCTCTCTCTATGTATGACATATTAGAATCTGAATCTGAATTTTTTTGCTCATTGAAGCATTTAATAGATTTTTTCTTCCAGAGGATGTTTAAGACGCTCATATTTGAATGCATATTATTATTTATTACTTATAGCTTATTACTTTACTTATGTCTTAATTACTTAAAAACATAGAAATGGTTATCCATGATGTCATGGATATTTAAAGGTGAAGTCTGTACATTTCTGTACTTGTCTAAGTGTTTATATTAATACAGATGAATTTGTGTTTCAGGGTATGGAGATTGTTCAAACCATGAACAGCGACCCGGGCTTGGCAGTGGGTACGTTTGGTTTCAGTATTCAGGAGCTAAACACCCAGTGGACTTTCAAACGCAAACTGTAAATCGCTTCTCCACAGGTTACACAGCGTTTAACGGTGTGGACTTCGAGGGAACTTTTCACGTTAACACGGTGACTGACGACGACTACGCCGGCTTCATCTTTGGCTATCAGGATTCATCGAGTTTCTATGTGGTGATGTGGAAGCAGACCGAACAGACGTACTGGCAGTCGATCCCCTTCAGGGCCATGGCTGAACCTGGTCTGCAGCTCAAGGTGCAAATATTGCTTAAATTGCTTTGATTCATGGAAATATATTGGCTTGCTAAAGTCCATTTGAGCTTTTGGGGAGTAAGGCTTTAAAACTCTGTGTTCGTGTAGGCAGTGAAGTCTCGTACAGGTCCAGGTGAATTCCTTCGTAATGCTCTGTGGCACACGGGGGATACGGATGGAGAGGTGAAACTGCTCTGGAAAGACCCACGAAACGTTGGCTGGCAAGATAAGACCTCGTACCGGTGGCAGCTCAGCCATCGGCCACAAGTCGGGTACATCAGGTGAGATCTCCTACAAATGGGACAATTGTGCAGCATTGTGGTACATTACCGTTCAGAAGTTTAAGGTCAGTTAGATTAATACTTTTATTCAGCAAGGATGCATTAAACTGATCACAAGTAACAGTAAATGTATTTAAAATGTAACAAATGATTTCTATTTCAAATGGATGCTGTTCTTTTGAACTTTCTATTAATAATAATAATAATAATTCGTTGCATTTATATAGCGCTTTTCTAGGCACTCAAAGCGCTTTACATTGTCAGGGGGTATCTCCTCATCCACCACCAGTGTGCAGCATCCACCAGGATGATGCGACGGCAGCCATAGTGCACCAGACTGCTATTCATCAAAGAGTAAAAAAACAATCAGGGATTCCACAAAAATATTAAGCAGAACTACTGTTGTCAACATTGATAATAATAAGAAATTTTTCTTGAGCATCAAATCAGCATATTAGAACGATTTCTGAGAGATCATGTGAGACTGAAGAAATTAGTTATTTTAAGTTGTAATCAGGGTTATTAGTTAACTAAAACTAAAACCATAAAAAATTATTACTTGAAATAAAATAAACATTAGCTCAAAATAAGACTACAATTTTTTTAATTGACAAAAATAAAACATTTACTAAAACCTAAAATACTACTATAAAATGAAAACACAAAATATGCAAATAAAACAACTCAAAATATTAATAAAATATATATTACTATCTCAGTGATACAAAAATAAATATTACTGTTTTAACTGTATTTTCGATCAAATTAATGCCACCACCTTTTTTACACCTTTATTTTTTTAGAAATTATTTTAATTGACAGCATGCCAGAAATATTACTGTTATCCATTTTGAATTATATTTGAACTGGTGTATTCCTTTAGTAAGAGTAATAAGGTGTTTGTCCCTGCTCAAACAACTTTTCTGTCTGTTGGATTGTGGGTTGTCTTTGTCGTCACAAGAGGGCGCAATACCAGCCTCGGTTATTGACTGCACCGGCAGCTGATGAAAGCTTGTGCTGGTATACTGGAGAGAGGGCGGTGGGGAGGATGACTAGTTATCCTTAAAATTTCTTCTCAATCGTCCCCTCCTCTTTTGCCCCCTCATACCCCTGAGAGACTGCTGAGTGGTTGGGCCCCCTGGCCGCCCATTGTTGTGGTTGCCATGCCAATGAAATCCTTGGCAAGAATTTTCTTGGTGCCTGTTCATATGCAGATCCAACGGAAACTACTGTAGTGGACGGGCCGTTAAAGAAAGAGAGAGAACGGACCGCAGAGGACAGTTAAACATGCATTGTGAGTGATTTCCTGTACTGCGTAATTTCTTGGCATTGTGTTGTAAATCAGATGCTCTTTGCCAAAGAAATGACGAATGAACTCCAGCAAAGGCTCAAAATTTTGTTTTTTTAATAATGTCATAACAGAAATTGATTTCAGTAACATCTTGTCTGATGGATAAGCAGTTCTGAAACTTTCAAACTTTGAGTCCACATGATTATTGAACACTTCAGATCAGAACTTTGCCAAGTTTATAGTAGTTATAAATTCCTACAGGAAGAGAGAGCTGTGTGGAGCTCTGCATGTGTGTGTGTGTGTACGTACATGTGTATGCACATTTTTGTGAGACAATGTGTAGCCGAGGCTTTGTAAGGGCCCTTTCAAACGCACACACACACACACATAAACACACCTGCTTTGTATTCAGTGAGAGGAGTGAATAGAGCACTGGACTTCAGTCCGCGCACACACTCACACTGGATTGTGCTGCAGACATGCTCCGCTCATACATAATGCAATTTAAGTCCAGCCTGCCGCTAAATCAAATCAGATCTAATTTATTATCAGGTAATTAGAGGGTGAGCAGGTGGAGTTTAGCAGCGGCCTGTAGCATAAAACAGCTCTCGGCTTCATTCAGACCGAATATTCTAGAACAACGGTTCTCAACTGCTAGGTTGTGTGACCCAAAATTGAGTCAGCAATTCTAAATGTGAATAATAAAATTCAACTAATCTTATAACCGTGCATTTAGGATGGCAAAATAAAAGGGTTTTTAAGTGGGAGGAGAACATGTTTCCCATTTTGGTTGTGTGTCCAATAAGACTCTAAAGTACTTTAGTGCAAATGTACATTAATTCATTATTTCCATCCAAAGGTTTGGAATAATGAAGACTTTTTTATGTTTTTGAAAGAATCTCTTATGTTCACCAAACCTGCATTTATTTGATCAAAATACAGTAAAAACAGTACTATTTTTAATACTTTTTTAAATAAATATTCTTTTTTATAAATGTACTATATAAGTGTCCTTTATTCCTGTGATGGTAAAGCTGAATATTCAGCAGCCATGATCCTTCTGTTGCTGAATATTTATGTGGGAAAAAATTTAGGGTAAGTTTTTTTTTTTAAAGGACACATTAGATTCATCAAAAGTGACACATCTTTTGTAACATTATAAATGTCTTTGGTTTAAAAAAATGCTGTTCTTTTGAACTTTCTGTTCATCAAAGAATCCTGAGGATTATTTGATGAAAGATCCTGTTTCCACAAAAATATTAAGCAGCAAAAACTTTTCAACACTGATAATAATAAGAACTATTATTAGTAATTAAGCACCAATAATAATTGATAATAATGGAGCACCTTATCAGCATATTATAATGATTTCTGTAGGATCATGTGACACTGAAAAATCAAGTGTTGTGGTAAGTCTGGCAGGTCACGTTAGTCAAGCTCGCATCAGCTGACTCTCAGCTGATCCCCATCTACCTATAGGAATACAACACCTATCTAAGCATTCATATATAAGGTCCCTCAGTATTATAAGCAGTTTTCGCATTGCTCAATAGCTAATTACCCTCTTTCATCCCCAGCTCCTCCTGTCAGTCAGGATTCAGCCTTTTGATTCTCCTTTGAATCAGACTAATTCTAAAATGTGTACATAACATTATTGAACTTTAACGATATCTGCAATACATTTATATTGGTTCTGTTTTGTTCACCCTGCTCTCATCCATGCTAGGCTGGTTCTGTTCTCTTGCCCAGAACAGAACCATACCGCCAATCCAAACTGTATACTAATTGTCAATCATATTTGACGATAGTGGTCCTGACAGAACTGGAGTAATGATGCTGAAAAATTAGCTTGCATCACAGGAATAAATTACATTTTTAAATATATTTAAATACTAAACAGTTATTTTTAAATGTAATAATATTTCACAATTTTACTGTTTCACTCTTTTTTGATCACATAAATGCAGTCTTAGTGGACATAAGAGGACCTTTGAAGCAGTAGTGTATATTTGTAATTTATTATTATTATTAACAATTATATTGTTATGAATTAAAACATTACACACACACACACACACACACACACACACATATATATATATATATATATATATGTATTTGCAAAAATGGTTAATTTTTCTATTTATGCAGTTTGTGGTACTATTAATAAATCTCAGCATTTGATCTTAAGGACGTTTTTGCTTACTTTAGCATTGTAAACAATTTAGGTACTGTTTACTTTGTTCAATATTAAATCTAGATCCAGTCCTGACAGTAGTATTTTACAGTCACATATAAGAGGGCTTTCACGTGTTGCAGGGTGAAGCTGTATGAAGGCACAGAGATGGTGGCTGACTCCAATGTTGTGATTGACACCACCATGAGAGGAGGGCGCCTGGGCGTGTTCTGCTTCTCTCAAGAGAACATCATTTGGTCCAATCTGCGCTACCGCTGTAACGGTAAAGATTAATCCACTCTTTGATATTTAAATCATGATCCCCAGACCCTCAGAGTCTTCAAAAAATCTAAAATCTACAAATTCTGAATAAAAGTTGTTTATTGACAAAAAAAAACAGGATTGCAACAATAAAACAACACACTCACAAAGCAAATGAAACATATCTTTTCCAGATACTGTTCCAGAGGACTTCAGTACACACCGTAAACAGGTTCTAATGTACATAAAGGTGTGAGGGGAGTGAGACGCCCTCCGTCTCTCTCTAAACCCTCTGAAACCCAGCATGGGGCCACTGAACTCCTGTGTGCGAGGGGCCAAACAACCAGGACAGATGAGAGATTTACCCAGCGTCTGTGTCACTCCGGATGAGGAGACTGAATGAAAGGAGAGAAAAGACTTTTATTTTACGTTTTGTGCGTTTATGTGTCATTGCGGAGCCGTATAATGTGTGAGTATGAGTGTATGTTTGAGAGAGTCCATTAGCGTGTGTTTGCATTAACAGTTGTCTTGAAATAAAGGGATATGATGCATTTTCTAGAACACAACAAATACCCAAATGGTCCTATAATCATTATTAATACATGACAAAAACAGAAATCAATTCTAAAACTACCAAAAATGACAGTTTAATATGTCAACCACAGAATTCTCCTGTTCTGTATGCCATTAATGATGAATGAGAGCTAAGCTCAAGCATATGTGTAGAAATATATTAATTTAACATTAGTTAAAATAAAATTATATTAAACTTTATATTTGACTATATGAATACGCTAGAAAATATATTTTATATCAACTCAACTTAGAAATCTATGCTATGTTTGCAATAGCATGCTTGTAAACTCTTACTTTTTGTGCAGAATATAGTATTGCGCACAATATGCAAATTTTCTGTATACATAAATGCATAAACACTTGAATTATCTATTATATTTTCCAGACTGTGCAGTATACATCAGTGCACACTGTATGGAATACTGTATGCAATGCAAAAAAGTACACAGTTTATGATGCATACTGCACAATATTCAGTAAGTAGTAAGCTAGTAACTGCCATATACTCACACCTGCAGTCTGGCGCCGCCCTAGTGGTCGAGCTTTTCATTGTGGCGGGGGATTGCAGCAGGAGTCGCGTGTTCCTCATGGTCAGGGAGGCCGGGACGAGTGCAATATTGGCGGGAGATTGAACAACAGTGCACAACATCCCACACCTTCCAGACCGCAGGACTACAAACACACTCTCTTAAAGACTTCAGAGTTCTCCTCGGAACTATAACCCAGATGAACACAAATAGACTTTTTTCTCTCTCTCTATAATAAGTTGTCATATATTAAGTTTGAAACATTTAAAAAGTTATTTTTAAATTAAAAGTTTAGCTTGTTTAAAAAAAAATTGTGAAATATTTTAATTGAGAAGTGAGGGCCAATGCGGCAGGTGGGTAGTGGAACCCATGAGGCCACTAAAGCCAAACATTGTTTGCATCTTGTAAAACTTCATGAATATGAAGTATACTTAACATCATGTTTCCCACCAAAGTTTTGCAACGTTTTTTGTCTTAAAAAAGACAATCAGTCAGTAGCCTAATGTACTAATTACCATAATACGTATCAGCATGTAAAACTTTTACCATAACAAAACTATCACAAGATTGTATTAATATGTAGGACTAGATTTATAGTGTGTGGGAGAAGTTATTAGGCTATATTAATTTTTTTTTTTTACAAATTTGGAGTCGGATCAATGTTCAGTTTACGTAAATGTTGATGTATTTCGGGCATCAATGGCGTTATTCACTATTATTTATTTTAATATACCCTACTGACAGATCAATATTTTACGTTTAACTTCTGTTTTCTTTTGCTTTTCAAATTTAAAACAAAAGTCACTTAACTAAATATCATCAACAAATAATAATAATAATAATAGAACGTTTTTCTCCTGGCCCAACAAGGAGTTTATGACTCACCTACAATTTCAAAGCTTTCCCCAAACGCTGTGTTAAAATCACGTCGCTGTTTGTGAAGTTTTTCTTTTTGTATAGTCCGGTTTCATGCTTTTGGCGCGTCTGCAGCCCGGTGGTACTGGGTTTGCCCAAAATGTGAGGGGCACAAAAGGACCTGCGGCCCCGCAGCGCCCCGCCTCCATCCAGCCAACAAAGAGCCTGAAACTCACTGATGCATGCATGCATACCGCAGACAACAGAGCAGATCCCACTCTAACACACACACAGTCCCAGATCACTCTGATGCATGCAACTGCTGCAGACACTGAAGATGACCAGCTATAATGCATGCATCAGTGTGTGACATATACACGGAACATCTTGCAATTGTTTTAATAAATAGACTTTTAAGCGTTAAAAGGCTGGTGGCCGCGATGCACTTCAGTGTTTACAGTTATTCTGAAGCACAATTTCGTGCGACTTGCATCAAACTCGCTGTATTTGCGCACTGTCGTTCCGCGCTGGTCAACACCGCCACCTGCCGGACGCGCCCTGAACTGCAGCTCTGAGAAACTGCGTTTCTGTTGATTTAAACACCAGCAAATATAACAAGTGCAAACTGAGTGACCTCAGTTATTGAAAGAGGGGATCTTTGCGGCGTCCCGGAGGAAGGAATCCGCTAAATGAACCCAAAGATGGGCAAACACATCCTCAAACACACGCATTTAACACCAAACAGAGAAAAGAGACCGAGAAAGCACACAAACAGGCCCTTCGCTACACTTAGGCTTTTTTAAAAAAGCCTTTTAGAGTTTCATTAGGACATTATTATGTTTTGATGTTCTGTACATGTTTTCTTCGTGACTGGTGTCTATGAGGTGATTTCAGGACACGCGTGACTATGTCACACAAGTTAACTTTTAAACACTTTTAATCAAAGACTTGTGGTTTACATTGTTAATATATTAATATAAACTCGATTTATTGGATTCTTTGTGCTTATTCTTTTTTATTTGTTTGCTATCCACCTTATTTTGCAACACCGAAGCGAACTATTTTCTTTAAATGTGCGAGAATTCCGCTTCATTAGCCGCTATAACTAAGCGTAAACAAAAAAAGTACAGTAAAGTTTAAAACTATTTGCGCTAAAAAAAAAAACGGTGTATTTATGATTATGATAATAGATTAAAATAATATGATGGCAAAAAAATACAAGTGTTCAATATAAAGTTGCTTAGCATTACGTAGGCTACTGTTTTTGTACAGGTAAAATAAGTGGAAGCATGTCACCAGAAGCCTCGCGCATTCAGTACAAAAGGCTGAGACCGCTCTTGTACGTAAAAAATAAAACGCATAGCATCTTTAGAAAGATACTTATTTGTGATGACAAACAGCTCCCAGAGAGCGATTGGAGCAGCACTCCGTGGCAGGTCGGTGTATTTATGATTATGATAATAGATTAAAATAATATGATGGCAAAAAAATACAAGTGTTCAATATAAAGTTGCTTAGCATTACGTAGGCTACTGTTTTTGTACAGGTAAAATAAGTGGAAGCATGTCACCAGAAGCCTCGCGCAGTCAGTACAAAAGGCTGAGACCGCTCTTGTACGTTAAAAATAAAACGCATAGCATCTTTAGAAAGATACTTATTTGTGATGACAAACAGCTCCCAGAGAGCGATTGGAGCAGCACTCCGTGGCAGGTGCGCGCGGCGACGGTGACGCGACGCGACGCGACGCGGGGGTCACGCCGCGCATGAGCGCGTCACAGTCAGACGTGATTGGGAAGGATCTCAGCGACGGTATACAGGAGAGAGTCCTCTGATTCGGTGGGTTTCTATTAACAATATAACTATTTAATGTAGTGTCTGTTTTTACATTGTAAAAATGTTTTTTCGAAGTTTTTTTATACTTCAAAATTTCACGTTTAATTTAATGCGTCACGTTTTAATGCCGTTTCTTTGCAAGTGCGAAATTTATTGTTTCTATACCGATTTTAATTTCAGTTTAAAACGTGAGAATGGTTATGTTTATGCATTTAACCAAACATTATAATAATCAGAATTAAAAAGTAGGCTAATTAGGGGTTTTGGATTTTTTTTTTGGAGTACTAGGACTTTTGGTGTACCATGTCAATTATATAGCACACATCAAAATACTATAGTATTACCACCTGATACATCACTGTACTATGGTATTGCTGCAGAAATGTCTTTCTAAGGGATTGTGTCCACAATAAAGCACTGTACCATAGTACAGTAATTGTAGTACCATGATACTTTGCTATATGGTAGGGAATTATTATTATATTGATGGTAAACATGATTTTAAAAACATACATTTTCATACATTTTCTGTAAGTGCAGTTAATCAGTGCTGTGCATTTCTTAGTTTGTTTTAGTAACATATTACGTTCCAAAATGTCTGTTTTGTTAATTTTGTGAAATAATGAGTAAGCTTTGACTAATAATGAGAAATTATATCATACAGTGTAAAAGAATAAATACAAGTTTTTTCAAAGTTGTAAATAAAACATTATTAGAATAGGTTTCATAAGAAAAGTCTTTCTACTTACAAATGTACTGGTTAATTCAACATAGTCGTAACTGTGAAAATTACTAGCAGTTTCTCAGTGGAAATAGTTTCAAAGTAAATCCTATGCCATTTTTTTTTATCAGTGCAAAAAACCTATGTTTACTTTCAAACATACACACACACAAACAAGCAAACAGAGTAATGCACATGTGCACGCTGGGCCACAGACAGTCATGCCTAACAGGAAGGCAGGAGCTGATTCACGGGACTCTGTGTTCTGTGTGAGACTGAAACAGAAGCAGCTGTTTGTAGGAGGATCCTGTTTCCTGAAATGTTGCGTACCCGATGAGCATTTAGACACGTTTGGAGTGGAAATGAGCTCTCTTTAAAAGTGCTGGCACACCAGATTCAGCCCGTTTCCACATGCAATGCACTTCAGTGAATGATTCTGAAGCGTTTCGCTGAAATTAGACCGCAGAAGGAAACAGAGATCTGTTGAGTTTCTGCTGTGTGTCTCACACCTGCTGCTGTACCACTATTCCTGCTGTCTATTTCCACTGGGGCAGGTGCTGGAGGGGCAGGCCGGTGTGGTGGGGTATATTTAGACCCCCCTGTTTCTGCCCTGCAACTCCCGTAACTGCCGGCCCATCGGCTAGAATAAATATCAGCTGTCAAGTGTTGGAGCAGACAGGAAAAAATATCAGCTGTCAAGTGTTGGAGCAGACAGGAAAAAAACTCTGCTGCCATGAAGATGGAAATGCAATGGAACTACAAAGTGGTTTTAATGAGATTTTAGATATTTGCTGAAAATGGGCTCCAGGTTCATCCATTTAAACTAAATGATTCAAGTCTTTGACAGCTTGTTCATATCGGAGCTGTTGGTCAAGTGCAAACACACATCTAGGACTGGAGTTTACTCTCGCGTTCCACCACTGTTTGTTCTTGAGTCTTAGTAAATAACGCATCAGTGGTGAGAGTCCAAACTGCGAAATATCCCCCAGCACTGAGAGCATTGCTGTGAATCCTCTTTGCATGAAAGTTTATTTCCATCAGAACTCATCTGATCCATTACCTTACCTCTGTACAGTAGTTGCAGTATTCAGACGTATGGTGGTCTTGTTTCACTCTGTGTTTCATGGACTGTGGTTCACAACATGTACACAACAGTCCACAACACTGTGAATGCGCCTACTGGCATTTATCAGATTCTTCTTTCTCTCCCAAAGCTGGTCAACGGGACATTATCTGTCTCTTGATGGATCTCAGGAACTCGATCAGATGAGATCTTGAGGTAAAAAGTTTGCAGACACCATATAACTGTATACTATGTTGTTTTATCATTATGTGTGATGCCTGTTAGATGAATGCTCTTGTACTTAGAATACTTAGAATTAAACACAAGCATCTAAATTATACTCAATATAATATAATATAATGTTTGCGGATTTGTTTGGGTTTCTTTTATATAGTGTGCATCAGCACCTGTGCAGGCAGCTGTGAGCAGGCCGTCCTGCCTGTGTCTGTATGGGTGGGAATGGCAGCATCAGCTGTTGGTGGGAATCACTTACACACAACATGGAAACACATTGTGATCATTGTTACAACGCTCCTGTTCTTAAGTGCTCCTTCAGGTAACAGTCCCTTTTTATCCTCACAAAAAAACTAGGTTACACTTTATTTTAAGGTGTCCTTGTTACAGTGTAATTATACATTTAAATACTGAGTAATATTAATTAACTACATGTACTTACTATATGGTTAGGATTAGGGTTTGACTTGGGGTTACTTGCATGAAATTATGCATAATTAATTGTTATTATAATAGTAAGGTCATGTAACGTGTAACAAGGACACCTTAAAATGTATTTTTATTCAGCTTCAACTTACTTTAAATCCTTTACATTAATAATAATTTAAAAGTGTTTTAAATATATGTTTTTCCACCTAATGTTAATATAAAGTTTAAAAAAAAATATTTAAGCCTCCCTGTTTAGCCTCACAAAAAAGTACAGAAATGGTATCAGATATTATTGTGTAATATTGTAATAGTAATACAGTAATATTGTGGTTCTTTTTGCAGTTTTATTTTAGTATTGTTTATATACTTATTACAGTATTTATTATTTATTAAAATTTTAGTTTAAGTGTTAGTCATTTTGTTAAATGCTTTTGTAATATTTATTAGATGTTTAATATTTCAATTTAGATATAATTTATTTTATTTCCTTTTTTATTTCTATTATATTTCTATTTATTTTATATTTAAAACCTGTTAACTGTACATTAATTTGGAGTCTGATGTGACCCTGGACCACAAAACCATTCTTAAGTTGCACAGGTATATTTGTGGCAATAACCAACAATACATTGTATGGGTCAAAATGATTGAGTTTTTCGCTTTTATGACAATTATTGCTTTTATTCCAAAAATCATTAGAATATTAAGTAAAGATCATGTTCCTGAAGATATTTTGTAAATTTTCTACTGTAAATAAATCAAAACTTAATTTTTGATTAGTAATATGGATTGCTAAGGACTTCATTTGGACAACTTTAAAGGCGATTTTCTCAATATTTTGATTTTTTTTGCACCCTCAGATTCCAGATATTCAAATACTTTTATCTCAGCCAAATATTGTCCTATCCTAACAAACCATACATCAATGGAAAGCTTATTTATTCAGCTTTCAGGTGATGATTTAAATAAATTGACCCTTATGACTGGTTTTGTGGTCCCGGGTCACATATATCGAGGGAACTCTGGAAATTGAGCCATTAACATTGTGATACATTTGTTTTCTTTCCCTGTAGTATGTGCACAGTGTCGAATCTTGCGATGCAACTCCGATTTCGTGGCTGCGACTATTGAAATAGGTGTCATTGGAGGAGGGGGTAAGGATGGAGCTAATGCTGTCTACTGCAGCGCCCTGAGGTCCTACGCGCTCTGCACCCAGCGGACGGCCCGAGCGTGCCGTGGAGACCTGGCCTACCACTCTGCTGTGCAGGGCATCGAGGACCTGCTCATCCAACACCGCTGCCCCAAAACAGGCCCCACGGCTCAGCCGCGGCCCCTGCCCCAGGCCCCTCTCTCAAGGGATGGATGCTTCTATGAGAAGGGGTTTATGCAGAGGGAGGGCCGGGCTCCAGAGTACCTGCACTGTGGGGTGTTTGGAGACCCTCATATCCGCACCTTTAATGAAGAGTTCCAGACGTGTGCTGTGCAGGGCGCCTGGCCTCTCATAGACAACCAGTACCTGTACATCCAGGCCACCAGCACACCCACTAGAGGGAGCTCTTACACTACCATACTCACAAAGGTGTGGACACCTTTATCCTCTTGGATAAGTCTCACATAATTAATATAACAGTCACCTTATAGTTTATTAAGTAATAATATGTATTTGTATAGTAATAATAATTACTATTTCTCAGAAATGAGTGGTATGTTACTTATTTTAAATAGAAAACTGGGTGGACTTCATTGCTTCTACACACTAAAAAATGCTGGGTTAAAAAGGGACAAACCCAGCTATTGGGTTGTTTTGACCCAGCGGTTGGGTTCAAAACAACCCAATAGCTGGGTTTGTCCCTTTTTAACCCAGCATTTTTTAGAGTGTAGTATTCGCATAAACTCTGGACTAATCAGAACTTTTTTTTTTTTACCAAGAACTGTTCACATAAAGGTTGAAATATATGGAAGCCTCTGCCATGGAATTAAAATATAAAAAAGGTAATAGCGACGCTTTATCTCACAATTAAATTCTTTTCCCCTCACAGTAGCTTTTATAGTATAATATTTTTATAGTTTTTATATAGTTTATATCTTGCAAATTAGATTTTTTTCCTCCTCAGAATTGCAAGTTTACATTGATGAAAGTCTGAATTACGACTTTATAATTCAAAATTTTTTCAGAATTCTGAGTTTACATTAATAATGTAATTATTGTGAGATAGCCTATAAATTCGCAATTACAGAAAAAAAGCTAACGTAGAAATGCACAACACAATTTTTGCATCGATTTGCAAACTGGATGCATCAACAGTAGTTGCCAAAAGTCAGAGCCAGTCTGCAGATTTTGGGCAGTTGGAGTTGACAGATTTCACACTCAGACTCAGATTTTTTAGCTTCAGTCTATGGTTCCACCCAGTCAGAAGATATCATACATTTATCATACTTCTAGAACAAATGTAGTTTTCATCTTTTGAAGATTAACAAAACACTGGCTTTGCAAGTTACATTTGTCAATATGCAAATTTATTTTTCAATGATTAAAATATTAACTTAAAATCTAAGTGGGTACTTTTAGTAAATAATGTACATCATAAGGGTTCCGCTGAGACAAATATTGGGAATCTCTGGTCTAAGTGGGTCATTCTTAGCCAGAAGAAGCTGATTTTATGCTGGCATGGCTGTACACTCTCAAAAATGGGGGATTTATGGAGATGAAAGAACCTTTTTTGGTTCCCCAAAGAATCTTTCAGTGAACAGTTCTTAAAAGAACCATTTAGTGTGAAGAGCATTTTAATAATCTACAGAACCTTTTTCAGCTGTAGCCTCTGGAGCAGTGGAAAGGTACCATAGTTAAATGGTACGATGTTAAATGTTCTTAATTTGCCAATAAAGAAGCTTTATTTTTTAGTCTCAGTGCATGTTTTTTCAAAGGTGGATGAAATTTATGCAGGAGTGTATTTATAATAAAAAATGTAAAAATGTTTCCACAGCCAACACAGCATTAATTAATGAAGTCATAAGGATTATTCTATTTAGTTTAGTTTATGGTTTTATTTTCAGTGTTTTCTAGTTTTGTTTTAGTCTTTTTTATATATAGTTATCATTTTAGTTTTAGTATTTTAAGGCTGTCAGAGTTAATGCATTATCTGACATAATTTAAATATATTTGTAATTTTGTAATTTTTATGTTTAATGAAGGCGGGTTATTTTTTTATTTATTTATTCATTTTATTTTAATTTGGAGTATGGAGAAAAACAGACGATAATAAAACAGAAAAATAATAAATAAAAGAAAAACATTAAGAAATAGATTCAGCACTAAATTTAATTGAAAAGTAATAACATTTTTATAATTTTTTATTTTCCTCTAATTACAGTTATTTATTCAAAACTAAAATAAAGAGTACTGAATTATTTTCCTGTCAAACTTATGATATTAGAACTTTTTGTAAATTATGAATTTGGGAAATTTACCAAGAGAATCAGATTTTTTCCCCAGTGATTTTTCTCCCATAGATCGTCTTTGTCCAGTGATTACTACAGAAAGCCCGTGGACGACCATGAACATCCCGTGGGATTCTCCGTTATCATCTGTTGTTTAAAGTTACAGTTATTCATCATTTATGCTGATAAAAATCATTTATGCTGGGTGTGAGATGCAGGCTTCAGTTTCATCTGGGTTAGGATCACAGCTGATGGAGGTTTCATTCCTTGTGAATGATCAAAAATTGGTGACTACTTCTGAGTCCTTCACACTTGAGTGACATGGATGGTGTTCATTTATATAAACTTGAATGTTTATGTTATATTGGTATCGGTTACATGACTGAAAGCTGTTTTTTCCTGCACTCTTACCTTAAAAAGGTCATTAACTACTTTTTATACTATACTTGTTTTATGTACATATAATGTATAAGACAGATAATACTATGTACAATAAAGACAGCCATCCAAAACAGAGGGAGTCAATCATTATGCATATCCCACCTTCCTTAAACAGCACTGTAACTGGAAATGGAGGGTTCAGGACAGACAGCATAATGAATGAGGTAAGCAGCTGTTTGTTTATATACATGTACTCTTATATCACCATGAAGATGAATGGTTGGACTATATAAACAGACTCTTAAACTTTCTATAGAGACTCGTGCAGTGAAGTGTGTTGGATCAGTCAGCAGATGGCAGTGCTCATCCAATCAGAACAGTCCATGTGAACAGTCTCCACACATACACGTTTCTGAACATGTGGATTGTTCATAGTTGCAATTGTTTGGTCCTCTGATGACCACTGTACTTCACTCTACATGTCCATTCAGTCTGGTATCTCTAGTATATTTAGTTTTCACAAAGTACTGAATATATGATTTGGACATGTACCAGGGCAATATCATAGTTTTTAATATGCACCACCAGGGTAATGCTACATCTACTGAACATGCACCAGGGCAATACCTGACATGTATTCTGACATGTACCAGAATAATACCATGGTATTTCGGACATGTACCAAGTTAATATTGTGGTTTGTTGACATGTACCAAGGTAATAATGTGATTTTTGGCCATGTACCAGAGTAATACCATGGTATTTTGGCCATGTACCAGGGTAGTATCATGATATTTTGAAAAGTACAAAGGTAATACTATGTTCTTTGAACTAGTACCAGGGCAATACCATGGTAACTTAACATGTAACAGGTAATACCATGGTTTTTGGACATGTACCAGGGCAATACTGTGGTATTTTGGACATGTACCAGGGCAATACTGTGGTATTTTGGACATGTACCAGGGCAATACTGTGGTATTTTGGACATGTACCAGGGCAATACTGTGGTATTTTGGACATGTACCAGGGCAATACTGTGGTATTTTGGACATGTACCAGGGTAATTCCAAGGTATTTTGACATGTTACCAGGGTAATACCATTGTACATGTGTCATAGCAATACAATGGTATTTTGGACATGTGCTACAGTAACACCATGATATTATCTTAATATATGGGTTGTGTCATTTAAATACCATGGCAAATGTATCTGGTCATCATTCGGTACTATGGTATAGGCTACCCTTAAATACTGTGGCAATATCAGATGATAATGCATTTACATTGTACTCTAAGGCTGATGATACACGGGGCAACTTTTTTTGAGCAATGTTGCTTGGGCACTATTCCATTGAGAATGGGTAACACATTTCTATCTGGATATTTTAGATTGGTCATGGGCCCTGTGTCTCACCTGGTTGCCTGTTGACAGCAACATTTCACCAAGTTGCCCTAAAATTGACCTAAAGGTACTTCTGAGAATACTACATTATTACTGTGGCATATGTCCAAAATCATGTACTTTTTGCATATCAAAATAACCATCCGATACAATCACGGTAGTGCCACAGTCCCCTTTTTCGTTGGGATGAATTAGACAGTGTAGAAATGCTTGATTTTGATGCCATTCGGTTTAGGTATAAATAAATTCTTCATGCAGAAAGAAATCGCCTCTATTATGAACGTGTCACACGTGCGTGTCCATCTGACTCTAACATGATGTTTTGGAACAGGGCACAGGAGTCTCCAATGCGCATTCATACTCCACCCCTGCTCCGTACAATTACTCCACCTCCTCAACCACTCCTGCCCCTTACCCACGAGTTGTCCACGCGCTCTGTACAGACTCTCATTGGCCTGGGTGGACGCAAACAACCTGTGTGTCCTATGAGAGAGACGTGAATGGGGAGATCCACGAGGCGCATGTGGCTCTCCAGCACTGATGCCCATGTGTGTCCAGCTCGCATCATCAGCACAGCGGCCGAGTGAACTATATAACCACCCACTCCCACTCAGTGTTTACTGACAGATCAGAGTCACCAACAAACGACCAAAACATCTAATAATAATCAAATAGTTAATAACACCAGCCGTACTGGTGAGCTTACTGCGCAACTGATTCATTCAGTTACATTAAATAGGCCTTTAATACAACGTTTAGTGTGGCATTATTGGAATTAATATTCGCACAGTCAATAAAACAACAACATGGGTGTACTAACAAAGAAACCCAAGACCTTCGAGGTTCAGTTTAGTGACCCGAACAAGAGCGCGTTCAGCGGCGGAGATAAAGTGGCTGGGCAGGTGATCGTGGAAGTGGCGGAGGTGGTGCAGATCTCCGCCGTTAAACTGCTCGGAATCGGATGCGCCAAAGTCGATTATAATAAAGGAAAGATGCACTGCAGGGATGAGATTGAGTACCTGAAATATGAAGAAGTTCTTCACCTCGATCATCAGCCAACAGGTGAGGCACAAACTTTGGTTAACTCTGTGTGCGAATTCAATCGTAAAGACCTACAACATTTAGTTTTGACTCCCTTTGGGGTGGTTCAAGTAGTTCACTCGCATAGTTTGAGTGAGGGTGGACTTGGACAGTTGTTTTTCTCCCCTATAATTTAACTCAGATTTTGGTGTCTAATTGGTGTCTTTGTTGTCTCAGAATTTAGTTTGAGGTGGGCAATTTAGAAATGGGGGGTTGTGAGGGGGTGAATGTAAGTTTAAGACTTGTTTATTGAAAAATATTTCCTAAATTGAACATTTGAAAGACATGAACATAATTCAATAATGACAATTTGAGTGTTTCTCAAAGCGCAATCTCTCCTTTGCAGATGCAGATGGCTCCATCACTCTCAGGCCTGAAAACAGATACGAGTTCATGTTCGGGTTTGAACTTCCACAGTCAGGGTGGGTTTCGTTTACAAATTCCCCTTTACATTGTTATTGCATTCAAATAATTTAGCCACAATTTTAATGTAAGATCTGCTCCTCCCAACCAGGTGCCTTGTTTCCTCCTATGTGGGGAAGTTTGGCTCAGTCCGATACTACGTGAAGGCCGTCATAGAGAAATCAGGCCATCAGTATGCGGAATGCAAGCGATATTTCGAGGTGGACGAACCCATTGACGTCAACACCCAAGAGCTCATGGTGATTAAGTCCAGACAGTTCACACACATTTCTGTGAAATGAATGTGATTGAAACGTGAGAGAGTAATTCAGCCCTTTCTGCTTCCTCTCAGGCCCCAGTTACAGGAGCAAAACAGAAGAAAGTCACCTGCATGTTTATTCCCGACGGCAGCGTTTCAGTGGCCGCTCGCATAGGCCGGAAGGGTTACTGTGAAGGAGAAGACATATGCATTGATGCTCAGTTCGAGAACTCCTGCTCTCGGATCGTTGTTCCTAAAGCCGCCATCATTGCCAAGCACATTTACCGGGCAAACGGCCGCACCAAAGAGTTTCACGAGAAGCTCACTTCTGTCAGGGGAGACCACATCATCTCTGGCATGTGTGACATGTGGCAGGGGAGAGTGCTTCGTGTGCCAAAGCTGAAGCCAACTATCCTGGGCTGTGACATTATCCACGTTGACTATTGTCTGAGGGTAAGTTATATTCTTGATAATCAATGCAGATGCTTTGGACTCCACCTGCGGATCTGAGCTTACACTTTGAAAAATAAAAGTTTTTTATTGTCATTGATGGTTCCATGAAGAACCTTTACCATCCTTTCCATTGCACAACACATTCTTTAATGTGGAAAAAGTTTCTAAATGTTCTTCACACTGTTCACTGAAAGGTTCTTTGGGGAACCTAAAACAGTTCACTGCAAAAAACTCCTTTTCGAATCTTAATTTTTAAAGAGTGTATGTCATCTCTTTCTCAGATCTACTTGCATATCCCAGGAAGTGAGAAGCTCATCTTAGATGTTCCTCTGGTCATCGGTACGATCCCCTACAATGGCATGAACAGTCGCACCAGCAGCATGAGCAGCCAGGACGGCAGTGGCACCTCCAGCACCTGCGTGTCACTTCCGTCTTCTCCACCTAGCTACAGCGAGATCTCCCGAGACGACCACATTGAGAGTTCCTTCATTCCTCTCCTAGATGATTATGACGAGGATGACAGTCCTATATTCATGCGCATTCATGCGCTCCCCCCTCCCCCAGCATACACTGAGGTACACATGCACATATAAATAGACATATATAAACATAGCCTCAACCATAGTTGAGATTGCACTAAGGATTGTGTCTGTCTTTCTTCTGATTAAACAGCAAAACTAAGACTGCATCGGAAGTGGAGTTCTCCTTCAAAAGAGACTCCAACGGAAGATCAAATGCAGGGAGATTCAGATTTCAGATCTCAGAATGACATTGCTAATGGACCATGCATGCTTGACTTCAGAGTTGGGGACTATGAAATGCTATGTCACGCCAAGAACTGGTTGATTGCAAGTCGGTGAAGTCGTCTGAAGCTGGACTGTTTTGCTGATGTAAGAACCCACCTCTTGAAAATGACCACTGACGTCTTCATGTTTAATTCTGAAGAATCCTCAGAATCTGAGAGAGTTTTTACATTTATGATTTTGCCATATTGGCATAATATTTTGTCTGCACATATTTCAAATTGGAAAGTGTTTGTGGTAGATAAGCCTTCGGATTATAGAGACAATATTTTTGTAATGCACAAAAATGTTATGCAGTTTTGTGAGTGGAAACAATTATATATCATTATGAGTTGTTTGCTGAGCTGTTGGTGTGCTGTGTCTAGTATTACAGTCTTTCCTAGCAGCATGTGTATTTCTAATTTAATATAGAAATTAGAATATGCACATATAGTATATAGTCCGTTTTTAATAGTATATAATTGAGTATTACTGTCAAGTTAATCCACTTTGAAATTTGAAACAGATTGTTGTGCATTTTGTACTCTTGATTTTTTATTTGAACTTTTTTTTATTCTGAACTTTTAATAACATTACAGAATACAATAAAAATTAAATTATCAATGTAATTAAGTGTCATTTGTATGAGATCTATCTATCTATCTATCTATCTATCTATCTATCTATCTATCTATCTATCTATCTATCTATCTATCTATCTATCTATCTATGTCTGTCTGTCTGTCATCTATATCTATCTATCGTCTATACAAAATTATATATTTTGTATAATTTCACGTATCTATCTATCTATCTATCTATCTATCTATCTATCTATCTATCTATCTATCTATCTCTGTCTGTCTATGTCTGTCTCTATCTATCTATCAATATCTGTCTGTCTGTCTATCATCTATCTATCTATCTAGATATCGTCTATACAAAATGATATATTTTGTATCATTTACTGTATATCTGAGTACTATGTATAGTTACATACTGTGAAATTCCCCAGTTACTGTTCTAAGACTGTGGTTTTGTTTTATGCAACATCTGGTGTGTAAATGCATTAGTGCAGAGTCTGTCTAAACTCCTGGCATGAGGACGAATGTAGAGGAAAGTTTGATAGCCGGAGACAAAAACACGTAGCCCCTGTTGTGTGTATCTGAAAGGAGTGTTTTCTGGCTGGAAGATATTCAAGAGCTATTTCCTCATGGGCAAAGCACTTCCATTCATGGGTGTGTGTTCAGAATAGCATTTCAGTTATGTACGATCCAATCCAAATGGGCAAAGTGAACGTGCTGGTAACCATCTACAGTATGTCTACAGTATACTTACAGTATTCTGTCATATGGATCAATTTATGGATGCCATATTTTGGTTAGGCAACGGGGTCCAAAATTCCACTAGTGAAATTGCTTCTATTTAGTATTTTTACAAGATTTTTTTTCTTAAAAGTGTTGCTAAATTAATATATGCAATACAAAATCATTAATGAAAGGCAGAGAATAAAATAATATATGAAAAAACTCAGAAAGGAGTTGCCCTGTCCATGGTCATCCATGCAGGACCACATGCGTGCAGGGATGGAACTGACTCAAGGCCGAGATCAGCAATCCTGGAACCATTAAATCAGACATAAGCAACCTGATGCGGCTGTTTACTCACTGTGCAGCTGTTCCTCTTTATAGCACTCTCTCAAAAAGGAACTGCACCTTTCCTGACCCCCCTCTGTCTCGCTCACGTACTCGCTCCATTTCCAGCTCTTGAACTTGAACCTTGCTCAGAAATCCAGAGTTGACTCGCATTCTCTTGATTTTTCTATATGTTTCTGTAAGCTGGAGTGAATTGTGTAATGCCATTGCATGATGTTGTGTGAGGCAAATACATCAGCGGTTGAAGCCCACTGCATAGGTCAGAAAGGAAAGCGTCTCTGAACCTGTGCTGGCATTTATCTCTTTGCATTTGCTGAGCAGTTTAAAGTGAAAATGTCAGACAGTCATACTTAACAGAGATGCAGGCTGTATAGATTTATGTATATTTGTATATATTAACATCTGACTGACATTTATGTTCAGTTAAGCTAATTATGATTAATTCACCTTAAATCTTACTATTAAAAACAGCTTGTGTGTTGTTGTTGTTGTTGTTTTCTGTTGTAAAACATAAAGAATATTTTTGTGAAGTTATTTTATTTTATTTTTGCCATAGCCCAGTTATCTTCAGTTTCTCCACAGTAATGTGAGTGGTGCACAGGTCGTCCTGCTGACTAATGCTTACCACCAGGGACTCTATTCTGTGATTGACAGGTATGATATGAGCCGTAATACTTCAAGTCAAAGTTGTTTAAAAGTTATTTCCCTTTAAAAATTTAAATAAGCTATTTATAGGTTGATTTCCTTGAAAAATACAGACACTGTGCAATCAAAACATTTTTTTTGCTTTGTTTGAGCATGGCAACATAGGCTGAACCAATGGGAGTTTGGGGCATGACTATTTGTTCTGGTCAACCAATGGTGGGGGAGGGTTTGGGAAAACCTGATTATTTTTGTTATTGCAAATTTATTTGGTGATTCTAGTGTTAAGGAAATGACACACTTCACCTTTAATATGGTAACCAGCAAACACAGTTAATAAATTAAACCTTTCAGTGGGACGGGAGAAGAATCGTCCTGTCAAGAATCATATGTACAGGACAGGATGCGTGCTGGGTTGGAACTGCATCAAGGACAACATCAGCAATCCTGGGAGCATCAAATTAGAGAATCAGACACCTGATATGGTTGTTTACTCACTGTGCAGCTGTTCCTTTTCTTAGAGCAGTCTCAAAAATAATCTGAGTCTTTCCTGACCTCCATCACGTACTCTTTATGTCTCTCTGTTTCCACCGCTTGAACTCTACCCTAGTTTCAGAAATCCACCCAAGCAGAGCGTGTGTCTCCTAGTCTTTGCTTTTTCTGTGAGATTTGTTAGGTTGCACACTTGTGATTCCATTACGTGATATTGTATGAAAAGCACTGCATACTGTCAGCTATGAGCTGCCATTCACTCTTGCTTTTGTAGAGAAGATTAAAATGAAAATGTCAAACTGTTACATAAAGATGCCATAGTATTGATTATTCCAGCCATCAGCTAATCATTTCCACAATCCAGTTGTCTTTGGCTTCTTTACTGTTATGTGAGAGAAGTACAGTTTGTCCTGCTGACTATGCTGTCTGCTTCAACAGAGAGAGAGAGAGGGGCTCTGCTGTGATTGACAGATGCAACATGGGCCTTGGTATTTGTTTTACACACTGTGGTCTAGAATGTGAAGCATTTTGTAAAAATGCATTGAGATTATGTCAGTGGGATATGTTATTAATAGAATAATGCAGATAATTCATATATATATAAAAACAACATTATTTAGCACACATGATGAGGATGGATAGCTTGCTTTGATTGATAAACTGCTCAAAATACTAATACTTATACTTAAATACTTGGTATTTGAACAAACCCCTAAACCCAAAAAAGTACACTTTGGCCATTTAAGTCTTGTGTAGTTTAATGATGCCACAAATCATGTATATCAAGCATTTTTTAACCAATTGGACTGAAATCACTTTGAATTAATCCTATAAACTTTGATCGAAGGACTAAAGTAATAGCCAAAGCTACAGTATTTTTAGAGACCAGTGCTCTTACTTTGACTTATTTTGGCCAATGCCTTACCAACCACCCAGAATGACCTATAGCACCCTAACAATATTCACAACAATATTTTATGTAGATATTTTACGTAGGTATTGACGTTTTACTTTTATTTTTTGCACTGTGTTAGTTATTTTGATTCTTTCCAGTAATTCAAATCTTTTGAATCTGTTTACTAAAAAGAGTTCTTCATATTCAGTGAGTGATTCAGTTATTCTTTCTTCAGGTAGGCCTACATCGTCATGGCAGTTGGCGGGGATACGTGTAAAATAGTGTGTTTTTGTATAATTAACTCATTCACAACCGATTCGTTAAAACCGAACAAGTTTTATTAATTTTAATTTCGCAGTTCATTCATGCTCTGTTCACGAACAACATCAGATTCAAAACGTTCAGTTAAGGGGCGTAACCGTTCAGCAGGTTCATCCAATTAAATGTCTGTTCACAAAGCCATGTGTCGAGCCCTAGTAGTGAGTCTTTGAAGGCTTTAATGAACAATCGAGATTTGTTTACTTAAGGATTCATTTAAAAACGTTTACGGACGAAACACCGCTGATACTTTGAATGTACTGTAAGTATCTTTGGATAAAAACGTCTCATACATGTATGAATGACTATGCAGATTTACTCCAGACTGAAATTACAACGTTTGGGTAGAGGCCAGTCTATTAAAGGGACGTGGCCTTTAAAAAGGCTGATCAGGCCATTTAAAGCAGTGGTTCCCAACTCTGGTCCTGGAGGCACCCCAATACTGCACATTTTGCATGTCTTCTTTCTCTGACACACCAATTTCAGGTCTTGGAGTCTCTACTAATGAGCTGATGATCTGAATCAGGTGTGTTTGATTAAGGAGACATGCAAAACATGCAGTGTTGGGGTGCCTCCAGGACCAGGGTTGGGAACCACTGATTTAAAGAACACCATAATCAGCTGCAGCCATTCATACAGACCAGGGGTAGGCAAGTTTGGTCCTAGAGAGCCGCAGTCCTGCAGAGTTCAGCTCCAACCCTAATCAAACACACCTGAACAAGCTAATCAATGTCTTCAGGATTACTAAGGCTATAGGCAGGTGAGTTTTGTTTTCAGGGTTGGAGCTGAACTCTGCAGGACTGCGGCTCTCTAGGACCGAACTTGCCTACCCCTGATACAGACCGACACAAAAACCCTTTCAACCAAAGATTAGTTAGTTAGTTCTGCTTTGTTCTACAACTTTCAAACTATATAAAGGCGAATCGTTGTTCAAGCAGTATTTTTAAATGTGAAAGAAAATAATATGTGAACACAGTATATGGCTTCATAGGTTAGCTGCATATATTCCGATTCATTCCAATTCTTTACTTGTTGGACTATATCAAAACAGTCCAGCATCTGTGAGCAAGAATCAACATGAGATTGTCAAGTGCATTTCAATTCAAGATCTCCTTGTTGGGAGGAAATCTGGATGCTTATAGATCTCCTTCAGAAGGTCTTTCTGTATGCAACAAATATTTGGGAATGCAACACAAGAGATGTTCTGTTTAATAATGAATTGCCTGAAACATGTTAGCAGTATACAGTATTTGTAGCTGTGAGCAGATCCTCATATTCTCAGCCTCATTCATATGGGATGAGTGGTGATGTGAACGTGGATAAAGCTTTTACCATGCAGAGTGTCCAATAGGACATGCGAGTGTCCTATAATAATAATAATGTATACAGTCTAAGACCTCAAGTGTCAAAAAGAATCATGTTCCTGGAATAAGTGTGTTACATACGGAGTGTTCTTTGTATAAAACTCAATTATTCACCCCTCTACTGAGGGCAGGACAGGTTGGAGATTGTTATGTAGGGTGCTTACGTTGCTTTTGTTTTCAGTACACGGCCATCCAGACGGAGCGCTGCATCCTAATTACCAGAGCTGAAGGACAGAGGATATCTCCTCGCCTCCTTAGCTGGAATAACTGGCCTGGTAAGTGCGTGTGTTTGCTTTTCTTCACTTCAGTTTAAAAGGATCCTCAGGGTATTCACCAGGCCTCAGGCACGTGCAGAGGGGGTTGCGATGGGTGCTTGAGCACCTGCCCCTTTTCCCCTTGATTTTTTTGTAATTAAACGCCATTTTGTGAAGGTCTGCCCAATCTAACTATTAGTGAAATTAATGAATAATAATTTAGTCATAAATAAAATTATCCACATGATGATGACCTTTCACCTGACGATCTCATCAGGGATTATCCCTCAGACACCTTTAATGTAGGGCACTACCAGGCAGTGTTGCCAACTTAGCAATTTTGTTGCTAAATTTAGCAACTTTTCAGACTACAGTATGGGTCACCATACTTGGCCACATGTCACGTCACAAGTACATACATCACATGAATTAATTTATTGCTATTTGCAGTTGTTCAATTTGATAATAACAATAATAATTTATTGTTTAAATAAATAATACAATTGTTCATTTATGATACACCTTGTTAGTAGCTTGTACCTGTGATTGTTGATCAGTTAGTACACTGTAAGAAAAATATCTAGAAAAATGGCAAAGGTACTAGTAATTTTCCAGGACATTATCCGTTATACATTATCAATGATCCGTTGTAACCCTGTAACCCGAAAACACAAAATACAATGCGTAATTTAAAATGCAGGTAAAAACCTGTGATTTATAGCATACTGACTACTAATACACTGCTTAAAACTATAACTGTTCAGAATGTGTAGTTTTACTAGTTTACTAATAAAAAAAACTTGTAATCGTTCAAAAATTAAATCGTTCGATGTTGTATACAAAAAGTTATTTATATTTTAACATTATATTATGCATTTATATTATTTTACGAGCAAATCTGCATTAACATATAAAATATATTTTTGCTGAGATTTGATGTAGTGACAATTTTGCGTCGTGATTACGTAATGACGTCATCGCGCAATGACATCACAACGTCATTTAGCAACTTTTAGCAACAAATCGAACTTCCTTCAGCAACTTCCCCTGAAAATTATTTGGCAACACTGCATAGAAGGATGCCTTCATAAAGTCCGCAGCTGCCGGTGTTACGACATTTTCGGTTTCCGAGATTTTTGGTTTCAGTGGTTTCATCATACATGAATATTCATGAGTTTCCCGGACATGCGCGTGGAACCAAGTGGAACTGAGAATTTCAGTTCACGCTCCTTGTATCTCAGCAGGTTTAATGGGATATATATATTTTTTTAAAAAGGTAAATATATTTACAGTGTTGTACAAACTACATTTGTTTATCATTTCCTAACAGTTTATAATGTTTTTATTAGTTTACAGTGCACGTTTTGTGCAGTCGTCCCTGATTAGGGTTTCCTGCAGGTCATAAGTCATTCCTTCTATGCAGTGTTGCCAAATCATTTTCAGGGGAAGTTGCTGAAGGAAGTTCGATTTGTTGCTACAAGTTGCTAAATGACGTTGTGATGTCATTGCGTGATGACGTCATTACGTCATCACTACGCAAAATTGTGTCACTACATTAAAAAAATATATATTATGTTCATTTATATTTGTTGGTAAAATAATATAAATGCATAATATGTTAAAATATAAATAACTTTTTTTATATACAACATTGAATTATTGAACACATTTTTGAACGATTACAAGTTTTTTTTATTAGCTAGTAAACTAGTAAAACTACACATTCTGAACTATTATAGTTTTAAGCAGTGTATGCAACTGCCCCTCCAAAGGTCTCTGCACGGCCCGGCCAGGCCTAGATGGAATTTCGATTGAAAATGTGCAGGATGTGTTTAAACATAGTACAATGTGTTAAAGGAATAGTTCACTAAAACATGAACATTTGATGAAACTTTATTATCCCTCAGGCTATCCAAGATGTAGATTAATTTGTTTCTTCATCAGAAGAGATTTGGAGAAATGTAGCATTACATCACTTGCTCACCAATGGATCCTCTGCAGTGAATGGGT